GATGTGACCCCACTCACCACTGACCTCCCCTCCCCCTTTTTCCCAGTGTTTCTTTTCCAAGTGCCTCCCATCGAAGAGAACTTCGATGACAACAAGCACTCGCTGAAGCCCTGGGACACCAAGAGAGGTGTGTGGGGGGTGGGGGGGCCGTGGGGTGTCCCCGTGGGGGTGTCCCCCGTGGGAGTGGGGTGTCCCCCAATGTCCCCAAGGCCCCCTGGGCTGATCCCTGTGCCCTCTGACCCCACAGCTCTCGTCACTCCTCGGCACGGCCCGAGTCCTGCGAGGTCCCGGGAATCCAGTGAGTGGGGGGATGATGGGAGGGGCACTGGGGAGGGGGCTGGAATGGGGGGATGGAGTGGGAGGGGGTGGAGTGGGGAGGGGGCACTGAGAAGGGGTTGGAACAGGGAGGGGGCACTGGGGAGGGGCTGGAATGGGAGGGGGCACTGGGGAGGGACTGGAGCGAGGAGGGGCACTGGGGAGGGGGCTGGAGTGGGGGGGATGGATGGGGAGGGGGCACTGGGAGTGGCTGGGAGCAGGGGAGGGCACTGGGAGAGGGGCTGGAGTGGGGAGGGGGCACTGGGAGGGGGCTGGAATGGGAGGGGCTGGAGTGGGGAGGGGGGCACTGGGAGGGGCTGGAACGAGGAGGGGGCACTGGGGAGGGGCTGGAATGGGGAGGGCTGGATGGGGAGGGGGCACTGGGAGGGGCTGGAGTGGGAAGGGGGCACTGGGGAGGGGCTGGAGTGGGGAGGGGCACTGGGGAGGGGCTGGATGGGAGGGGGCACTGGGAGGGGGCTGGAGTGGGGAGGGACTGGAGTGGGGAGGGGGCACTGGGGAGGGTTTGGAGCGGAGGGGCACTGAGAAGGGGCTGGAACAGGAAGGGGCACTGGGGAGGGGCTGGAGTGGGGGGGACACTGGGGAGGGACTGGAATGGGGAGGGGACACTGGGAGGGCACTGGGGAGGGCTGGATGGTGAGGGCACTGGGAAGGGTCTAGAGTGGGAAGAGGCACTGGGGATGGTGACACTGTGGAGGGTGACCCTGGGTGGGGGTGCCAGGGGTGTCATCACCGTTCCCACCCCCAGCGTGTTCCGTCCCAGGACCAACCTGCCAACATGTGCCCCTCATGCCCTCGGCCTCAACACGGGGAGTCCCTGCCCGGCCTGACCACGCTGCACTTCCCGTCCCCTGCCCACCCCCTGGACCCCGGAGGCGTTCCCCCTGAGGCGGGGCAGCAGCACCTCCAACCTGGCCACCACGCAGCCCACCTGGGCATCAGCGGCACCAGCACGGGGGGCTGGGCTACGGCCCCCAGGTGAGTGGGGGGGCACAGGGGGCTCAGAGACCCCAGGTGAGTGGGGGGCACAGAGACCCCCAGGTGAGTGGGGGGCACAGGGGGGGTGCTCAGAGACCCCCAGGTGAGTGGGGGTGTACAGAGACCCCCAGGTGAGTGGGAGGCACGAGGACCCCCATGTGAGTGGGGGGGGCACAGGGGGCTCAGAGACCCCAGGTGAGTGGAGGGGCTGGGCTACTGACCCCAGGTGAGTGGGGTGGTACAGGAGTACTCAGAGACCCCCAGGTGAGTGGGGGTGCTCAGAGACTGCCCAGGTGATTGGGGGGCACAGAGACCTCCCAGGTGAGTGGGGGGCACAGAGACCCCCAGGTGAGTGGGGGGGCACGGGGGGCTCAGAGACCCCCAGGTGAGTGGGGGCACAGGGGGCTCCAGAGACTCCCCAGGTGAGTGGGGGGTCACAGAGACCCCCCCGGTGAGTGGGGGGCACAGGGGGCTCAGAGACCCCCATGTGAGTGGGGGTGTGACAGAGACCCCCAGGTGAGTGGGGGGCACAAGGGGGCTCAGAGATCCCCAGGTGAGTGGGGGGGCACAGGGGGGCTCAGAGACTCCCAGGTGAGTGGAGGGCACAGGGACCCCCGGGTGAGTGGGGGAGGCACAGAGACCCCCCGGGTGAGTGGGGGGCACAGGGGGGGCTCAGAGACTCCCCAGGTGAGTGGGGGTGTACAGAGACCCCCCAGGTGAGTGGGGGGCACAGAGACCCCCCAGGTGAATGGGGGACACAGACCCCCCCCCAGGTGAATGGGGGACACAGAGACCCCCCAGGTGAATGGGGGACACGGGCCCAGGTGAATGGGGGACACAGACCCCAGGTGAGTGGGGAGGCACAGAGACCCCCAGGTGAGTGGGGGGGCACAGGGAGGGCTCAGAGACCCCCCAGGTGAGTGGGGGGGCACAGGGGGGGCTCAGAGACCACACAGGTGAGTGGGGGGGCTGGGCTACGACCCCCCAGGTGAGTGGGATGGTACAGGAGTACTCAGAGACCCCCCAGGTGAGTGGGGGGACACAGACACCCCAGATGAATGGGGACACAGAAGCCCCCAGGTGAATGGGGGACACAGATTCCCCCCAGATGAATGGGGGACACAGACCCCCCCCAGGTGAATGGGGGACACAGACCCCCCCCCAGGTGAATGGGGGGACACAGACCCCCCCCAGGTGAGTGGGGGAGGCACAGGAGGGCTCAGAGACCCCCAAGTGAGTGGGGAGACATGGAGCCCCCAGGTGAATGGGGGGCACAGAGACCCCCCAGGTGAGTGGGTGGGGCACAGGAGGGCTCAGAGACCCCCCAGGTGAATGGGGGATACAGAGACCCCCCAGGTGAGCGGGGGGAACACAGGAGGGCTCAGAGACCCCCCAGGTGAGTGGGGGGACACAGACACCCCCCCCCCAGCTGAATGGGGGACACAGAGACCCCCCAGGTGAATGGGGGACACAGATTCCCCCCAGATGAATGGGGGACACAGACCCCCCCCAGGTGAGTGGGGGGGGCACAGGAGGGCTCAGAGACCCCCCAAGTGAGTGGGGAGACATAGACCCCCCCCAGGTGAGTGGGGGGGCACAGAGACCCCCCAGGTGAGTGGGTGGGGCACAGGAGGGCTCAGAGACCCCCCAGGTGAATGGGGGACAGAGACCCCCTGCAGGTGAGCAGGGGGGGGGACGCAGGAGGGCTCAGAGACCCCCCAGGTGAGTGGGATGGTACAGGAGTACTCAGAGACTCCCCCAGGTGAATGGGGGACACAGAGACCCCCCCAGGTGAATGGGGGACACAGACCCCCCCCAGGTGAATGGGGGACACAGAGACCCCCCAGGTGAGCGGGGGGGGCACAGGAGGGCTCAGAGACCCCCCAGGTGAGCGGGGGACGCAGGAGGGGCTGGACTCCGACCCCCCAAGTGAGTGGGGTGGTACAGGAGTACTCAGAGACCCCCCAGGTGAGTGGGGGGACACAGACTCCCCCCCAGGTGAATGGGGACACAGACCCCCCCCCCAGGTGAATGGGGGACACAGAGACCCCCCAGGTGAGCGGGGGGGGCACAGGAGGGCTCAGAGACCCCCCAGGTGAGTGGGGGGACACAGACCCCCCCCAGGTGAATGGGGGACACAGAGACCCCCCCAGGTGAGTGAGGGGGGCACAGGAGGGCTCAGAGACCCCCCAGGTGAGCAGGGGACGCAGGAGGGGCTGGTCTCCGACCCCCCAGGTGAGTGTGTCCGTTACCGTGTCCATCTCCATGTTTTCGGTGGCTCCATCCCCCTCCCTCCCCCAGGAGCCCCCCCAGGCCCTTCCCTCTCCCCCATCCCCCCCCGAGGGCACGGGGGGGTGGGGGTAACGCGCTGTCTGTTTTTGTGCCCACAGGACTCCCCTCACCTCTGCAGAGCTCCCTGAGTAACCCGTCCCTGCAGTCCTCCCTGAGCAACCCCAACCTGCAGGCCTCGCTGCAGGCCTCGCTGCGCGGGCCCTCCCTCAGCAACCCCTCCCTGCAGTCCTCCCACAGCAGCTCCTCCATCCCCTCCTCGCTGTCCAACCAGTCCCTGCCCTCCTCGCTGTCCTCCTCGCTGTCCAACCCGTCCCTGCCCACGTCCCCCCGCAGCCAGCCCCTGCAGTCCTCGCCCAGCAACCCCAGCCTGCCCTCGGGGCTGGGGGGCTCCTTCGGGACCACCACGTCGTCTCCCCGGCGCCGGGTCCCGCTCAGCCCCCTGTCCCTGCCCGTGGCCGGTGACTCCAGGCGGCAGCACCCCAAACAGTTCTCACCAACAATGTCACCCACATTGTCCTCCATCACCCAGGTATGCATGGCTCCATCGCCGCGCCGCCTCCTCGTCCTCCTCGTCCTCCTCCTCTTCCTCCTCCTTGTCCTCCTCCTCATTTTCCTCATCGTCCTCCTCATCCTCCTCATCCTCCTCCTCTTCCTCCTCCTTGTCCTCCTCCTCATTTTCCTCATCGTCCTCCTCATCCTCCTCCTCCTCGTCCTCCTCCTCGTCCTCCTCCTCATTTTCCTCATCGTCTTCCTCGTCCTCCTCATCCTCCTCCTCGTCCTCCTCCTCATTTTCCTCATCCTCCTCATTTTCCTCGTCCTCCTTATCCTCATTGTCCTCCTCATCCTCATCATCCTCCTCATCCCCATCCTCCTCCTCGTTCTCCTCCTTGTCCTCCTCGTCCTCCTCATCCTCATTGTCCTCCTCATCCTCATTGTCCTCCTCATCCTCATCATTCTCCTCCTCCTCCTCCTCCTCCTCCTTATCCTCATTCTCCTCCTCATCCTCATCATCCTCCTCCTCCTCGTCCTCCTCCTTGTCCTCCTCCTCCTCCTCATCCTCATCATCCTCCTCATCCTCATCGTCCTCCTCATTGTCCTCATCATCATCCTCCTCATCCTTCTTGTCCTCCTCATCCCCCTCCTCCTCATCCCCCTCATCTTCCTCCTCCTCCTCCTCATCCCCCTCATCTTCCTCCTCCTCCTCCTCCTCCTCCTCCTCCTCCTCCTCCTCCTCCTCCTCCTCCTCCTCCTCCTCCTCCTCCTCCTCTTTCTCCTCACTCCCCTTCCCCTCATTCCCCTGTCCTCCCCTCCTTTGTCCCCCACCTCATCTTCCTCTTCCCTGTCCTCCTCCTCCTCCTTTGTTTTCCTCTTCTTAGTCCTCCTTGTCTTCCTCCTCCTCAGCCTCTTCTTCCTCAACCCTCTCTTGCTCTGTCCCCTTGTCCTCCTCTTCCTCGTCCCCCTCCTCGTTGTCCTCATCCTGCTCTTCCTTGTCCCCCACCTCATCCTCCTCTTTCCCATCCTCTTCCCTGTCCTCCTCCTCATCCTTCTTGTCTTCTTCCTCCTCCTCTTCCTCCTCCTCATTACCCTTTTTCTTGTCCTCCTTTTCTGTGTCCTTCTCCCATCCTCCTTGTCCTCCTCTTTCTCCTTGTTCTACTCTTCCTCCTCCTCATCTTCCTCTCATCCTCCTTGTCCTCCTCTTCCTCCTTGTCCTGCTCTTCCTCCTCCTCCTCCTCATCTTCCTCCTTGTCCTCCTTGTCCTTTCATCCTCCTTGTCCTCCTCCCCCTCACTCACCTCATGTCCATCCTCATCTCACCCACCCCCAGGGCCCCCCTCGCCCCCATTCCCCCTCAGACCCCCCTCAGACCCCCCTCAGACCCCCCCAGCCCTGCCCACACTGGGGGGACCCTCCACGTCCCTCCCAGCCCCCCCCCCACAGGCAGGGCTGGGCTGGGGGGTCTCAGTGCTGGCAGCCCCGGGGGGGGCCAGTGGAGCCCCCCAGAGTGGGGGTGTCCCAGTGGAACCCCCCAGAACGGGGGTGTCCCTGTGGAGCCCCCCAGAGTGGGGATGTCCCAGTGGAGCCCCCCAGAGTGGGGGTGTCCTGCTGACCCCCCAGAGTGGGGATGTCCCAGTGGAGCCCCCCAGAGTGGGGGTGTCCCAATGGAGCCCCCCAGAGTGGGGGTGTCCTGCTGACCCCCCAGAGTGGGGATGTCCCAGTGGAGCTCCCAGAGTGGGGTGTCCTAGCTGACCCCCAGAGTGGGGGTGTCCCAGTGAGCCCCCAGAGTGGGGTGTCCCGTGAGCCCCCAGAGTGGGGGTGTCCCAGTGGAACCCCCAGAGCGGGGGTGTCCCTGTGGAGCCCCCCAGAGTGGGGGTGTCCCAGTGGAACCCCCAGAGTGGGGGTGTCCCAGTGGAACCCCCAGAGTGGGGGTGTCCCAGTGGAGCCCCCAGAGCGAGGGTGTCCCGGTGGAGCCCCCCAGAGTGGGGGTGTCCTGCTGACCCCCCAGAGTGGGGGTGTCCCAGTGGAGCCCCCCAGAGTGGGGGTGTCCCAGCAGAGCCCCCCAGAGTGGGGGTGTCCCGGTGGAACCCCCCCAGAGTGGGGGTGTCCCAGCAGAGCCCCCCAGAGTGGGGGTGTCCGGGTGGACCCCCAGAGTGGGGGTGTCCCGGTGGAGCCCCCCAGAGTGGGGGTGTCCCAGTGGAACCCCCAGAGTGGGGGTGTCCCGGTGGAGCCCCCCAGAGTGGGGGTGTCCCTGTGGAGCCCCCCAGAGTGGGGGTGTCCCAGCGGAGCCCCCCAGAGCGGGGGTGTCCCAGTGGAACCCCCCAGAGTGGGGGTGTCCCGGAGGAGCCCCCCAGAGCGGGGGTGTCCCAGTGGAACCCCCAGAGTGGGGGTGTCCCGGTGGAGCCCCCCAGAGTGGGGGTGTCCCGGTGGCCCCCCAGAGTGGGGGTGTCCCGGTGGAGCCCCCCAGAGCGGGGGTGTCCCGGTGGAACCCCCAGAGTGGGGGTGTCCCAGCGGAGCCCCCCAGAGTGGGGGTGTCCCAGCGGAGCCCCCCAGAGTGGGGGTGTCCCTGTGGAGCCCCCCAGAGTGGGGGTGTCCCAGCGGAGCCCCCCAGAGCGGGGGTGTCCCAGTGGAACCCCCCAGAGCAGGGGTGTCCCAGCAGAGCCCCCCAGAGTGGGGGTGTCCCAGTGGAGCCCCCCAGAGCGGGGGTGTCCCGGTGGAGCCCCCCACAGTGGGGGTGTCCTGCTGACCCCCCAGAGTGGGGGTGTCCCAGTGGAGCCCCCAGAGTGGGGGTGTCCCAGTGGAGCCCCCAGAGTGGGGTGTCCTGGTGGAGCCCCCCAGAGTGGGGGTGTCCCGGTGGAGCCCCCCAGAGTGGAGGTGTCCCAGTGGAGCCCCCCAGAGTGGGGGTGTCCTGGTGGAGCCCCCCAGAACGGGGGTGTCCCGGTGGAGCCCCCCAGAACGGGGGTGTCCCGCTGACTCCCCCCTCTCCCTGCTCTCTCCGCAGGGCGTGCCCCTGGACACCACGAAGCTGCCGGAGCAGCGGCTCCCGCCGCACCCCTACGGCCAGCCCGGGTGCTTTTGGGTCCCAGCCTCCTGCGGCCCCCGGGCCCCCTGCGCCCCTACGGCCCCCTACGCCCCCCGGCCCCTCCCTGGGGCAGCCCCTGGCGCAGCCCCCCGGAGACTTCGGCCTGGGCAGCGTGAGTGGGGGGGACACCCCAGTACAGCTCTGACCCCTGGGGGGGACACCCCAGTACAGCTCTGACCCCTGGGGGGGACACCCCAGTACAGCTCTGACCCCCGGGGGGGACATCCTAATACAGCTCTGACCCCCGGGGGGGACACCCCAAGTACATCTCTGACCCCTGGGGGGGACACCCCAGTACAGTGACCCCTGGGGGGGGACACCCTAATACAGCTCTGACCCCTGGGGGGGGACACCCTAATACAGCTCTGATCCCTGGGGGGGGACACCCTAATACAGCTCTGATCCCTGGGGGGGGACACCCTAATACAGCTCTGACCCCTGGGGGGGGACACCCTAATACAGCTCTGACCCCTGGGGGGGGACACCCTAATACAGCTCTGACCCCTGGGGGGGGACACCCCAGTACAGCTCTGACCCCTGGGGGGGACACCCCAGTACAGCTCTGACCCTGGGGGGGACACCCCAGTACAGCTCTGACCCCTGGGGGGGACACCCCAGTATAACTCTGACCCCTGGGGGGGGGACACCCCAGTACAGTGACCCCTGGGGGGGGACACCCCAGTACAGCTCTGACCCCTGGGGACACCCCAGCATAACTCTGACCCCTGGGACACTCCAGTACAGTGACCCCTGGTGGGGGACACCCTAATACAGCTCTGACCCCTGGGGGGGGACACCCCAGTACAGCTCTGACCCCTGGGGGGGACACACCAATACAGCTCTGACCCCTGGGGGGGCATGGGGACACATGGGGACACTCCATGGGGTCACTGGGGGGACATGGGAAGTCTCCATGGGGTCATCGGTGGGGGACATGGGAATGGGGACCCCTGGGGTTACTGGGGGGGACATGGGAATGGGGACCCTTGGGGAGGTTATTGGGGGGGACATGGGGACTCTCCATGGGGTCACTGTGGGGGACACATGGGGACACTCCATGGGGTCACTGGGGGGGACATGGGAATGGGGACCCTTGGGGAGGTTATTGGGGGACATGGGGACTCTCCATGGGGTCACTGTGGGGGACACATGGGGACACTCCATGGGGTCACTGGGGGGGGATATGGGAATGGAGACCCTTGTGGGGGACATGGGGCCAGGGACACTCTGGGGGACATGGGGCCAGGGATGCTCTTGGGGGACATGGGGCCAGGGGATGCTCTGGGGCTCACTGGGGGACATGGGGATAGGGGACACTCGGGGGACATGGGGCCAGGGATGCTCTGGGGCTCACTGGGGGACATGGGGACACTCTGGGGGACATGGGGCCAGGGATGCTCTGGGGCTCCCTGGGGAGACATGGGGACACTCTAGGGGGACATGGGGCCAGGGGATGCTCTGGGGCTCACTGGGGGGACATGGGGACACTCTGGGGCTCCCTGGGGGACATGGGGACACTCTGGGGGACATGGGGCCAGGGATGCTCTGGGGGACATGGGGGACATGGGGGACACTCTGGGGGGACATGGGGCCAGGGATGCTCTGGGGGCTCCCTGGGGGGACATGGGGACAGTCTGGGGGAGCATGGGATGCTCTGGGGCCCCTGGGGGACATGGGGCCCAGGGGACAGTCTGGGGGGACATGGGGGCCAGGGGATGCCTCTGGGGCTCACTGGGGGACAGGGGACACCTGGGTGACATGGGGCCAGGATGCTCTAGTTCTGGGGACAGGGGACACTCTGGGGGACATGGGGTCAGGGGATGCTCTGGGGCTCCCTGGGGGACGGGGACACTCTGTGTGACATAACCAGGGATGCTTGGATGTTGGGCTCCCTGGGGGACATGGGGCCAGGGGACAGTCTGGGGGGACATAACAGGATGCCTGGGGCTCACTGGGGGACAGGGGACACTCTGGGGGACATGGGGCCGGGATGCTCTGGGGCTCCCTGGGGGACAGGGGACACTCTGGGGGACATGGGCTAGGGATGCTCTGGGGCTCCCTGGGGGACAGGGGACACTCTGGGGGGACATGGGGCCAGGGATGCTCTGGTGCTCACTGGGGGACATGGGGACAGTCTGGGGGGACATGGGGCCAGGGGATGCTCTGGGGGACATGGGGGGACATGGGGACACTCTGGGGGGACATGGGGCCAGGGATGCTCTGGGGCTCCTGGGGACATGGGGACAGTCTGGGGGACACGGATGCTCTGGGGCTCCCTGGGGGACATGGGGACACTGGGGGACACGGATGCTCTGGGGCTCCTGGGGACATGGGACCAGGGACAGTCTGGGGGGACATGGGGCCAGGGATGCTCTGGTGCTCACTGGGGGACATGGGGACAGTCTGGGGGGACATGGGGCCAGGGGATGCTCTGGGGCTCCCTGGGGGACATGAGGACACTCTGGGGGCGGTCACCCCTAACCCTCCTGTCCCCACAGCTGGAGCAGTTCGGGATCGGGGAGAGCCCCCCCGGGAACAGCGGAGGGTTCCCCGAGGACCTGGGGGCCCTGAGTTACCCCCGAGCGAGGCTACGACCCCTGCCCTGAACCGCCAGAACCTGAGCAACTGCAGCCGCCACGGGCCCATCCCCAACATCATCTTCACAGGTGGGGGCTCGGGGGCTGGGGGTGCGTGGGGTGGGGGCTCTGAGGGGTGTCGTGGAGGGGTGGGGTGGGGAGACAGTGGTGGGTGCCACAGCTGGGTGGGTGGGTGGGTTGGGGGTCCATGGGGTGTCACAGGCGGTGTGCTCTGGGGGCTCTGAGGGTGTCACAGGGTGGTCTGTGATTTGTCACAGGGGGGGGGTGTGTGCCCTGGGGCCTCTGGGGGTGCCCTGGGGCCTCTGGGGGTGTCCTGGGGTCTCTGGGGTGCCCTGGTCCTCTGGGGGTGTCACGGGGTCTCTGGGGGTGTTTTTGGGAGGGGGGCTATACCCTGGGGTCTCTGGGGGTATCCTGGGGTCTCTGTGGGTGCCCTGGGAGGGGGGCTGTGCCCTGGTCTCTCTGGGGGTGTCCCGGGGTCTCTGGGGGGGCCCTTATCTCTCTGGGGGTGTCCTGGGAGGGGGGCTGTGGCCTGGTCTCTCTGGGGGTGTCATGGGGTCTCTGGGGGTGCCCTGGTCTCTCTGGGGGGGCCCTTATCTCTCTGGGGGTGTCCTGGGAGGGGGCTGTACCCTGGTCTCTGGGGTGTCATGGGGTCTCTGGGGTGCCCTGGTCTTCTGGGGTGTCTTGGGGTCTCTGGGGGTGTCATGGGAAGGGGCTGTACCCTGGTCTCTCTGGGGTGCCCCAGCTCTCTGGGGGTGCCCTGGTCTCTCTGGGGGTGTCCTGGGGTCTCTGGGGGTGCCCTGGGAGGGGGGCTGTGCCCTGGGGTCTCTGGGGGTGCCCTGGTCTCTCTGGGGGTGTCTCGGGGTCTCTGGGGGTGTCCTGGTCTCTCTGGGGGTGTCCTGGGGTCTCTGGGGGTGCCCTGGTCTCTCTGGGGGTGCCATGGGGTCTCTGGGGGTGCCCCGGTCTCTTTGGGGGTGTCTCTGGGGGTGCCCTGGTTTCTGGGGGTGCCCCGGTCTCTCTGGGGGTTCCCTGGTCTCTGGGGGTGCCCTGGGAAGGGGGCTGTGCCCTGGTTTCTCTGAGGGTGTCATGGGGTCTCTGGGGGTGCCCTGGGAAGGGGGCTGTGCCCTGGTTTCTCTGAGGGTGTCATGGGGTCTCTGGGGGTGCCCTGGTCTCTCTGGGGGTGTCCTGGTCACTCTGGGGGTATCCTGGGAGGGGGGCTGTGCCCTGGTCTCTCTGGGGGTGCCCCGGTCTCTCTGGGTGTGTCTCGGGGGTCTCTGTGTACCCCCCCATCCCTCTCAGAACCTCTCTGACCCCCCAAATCCCCCCCCCATCCATCCCGCAGGCGAGTCCCCGCCGGGGCTGTCGAAGGAGATCGCCACGGCGCTGGCGGGGGTGCCGGGCTTCGAGGTGGAGGGGGGTTCTCTGGGGGGTCTGGGGGGTCTGGAGGAGGAGCTGCGCATCGAGCCCCTCAGCCTGGATGGGCTGAGCATGCTGAGCGACCCCTGCGCGCTGCTCACCGACCCCGCCGTCGAGGACTCCTTCCGCTCCGACCGCCTGCAGTGAGCCCGGGGCACCCCTGCCGCAGGGACCCCCTGACACCCCCGGGCAGCCCTCGGCTCCCGCCGCCCGCTGCGCTCACGATGAGAACCCCCCCCAGAATGAAGGGGGGCCTGCAGGGAGCACCCCCCCACCCCCGAAACGCGGCCGTGCAGGGGGGTCTGTGGGGAAACCCCAAAATACAGCCATGCAGGGGGGTCTGTGGAGAGCACCCCCACCCCAAAATGTGGCCATGCAGGGGGGTCTGTGGGGAAACCCCCCCTCCCAAAATACAGCAGTGCAGGGGGGTCTGTGGAGAGCACCCCCCCTCCAAAATGCGACCATGCAGGGGGGTCTGTGGGGAAACCCCCCCCCCAAAATACAGCCGTGCAGGGGGGTCTGTGGGGAAACCCCAAAATACAGCCGTGCAGGGGGGTCTGCAGGGAGCACCCCCACCCCCCAAAATGCGGCCGTGCAGGGGGGTCTGCAGGGAGCACCCCCCACCCAAAATGTGGCCGTGCAGGGGGGTCTGTGGGAAACCTCCGAAATGTGGCTGTGCAGGGGGTTCAGGGAAACCCCCCCTCCCAAAATACAGCAGTGCAGGGGGGTCTGCGGGGAGCACCCCCCTTCCCAAAATGTGGCTGTGCAGGGGGTCTGTGGGGAAACCCCCACCCCTGAAATGTGGCCATGCAGGGGGGTCTGCAGGGAGCACCCCCCCTCCAAAATGCAACCATGCAGGGGGGTCTGTGGAGAAACCCCCACCCCTGAAATGTGGCTGTGCAGGGGGGTCTGTGGGGAGCACCCCCCCCCAAAATACAGCCGTGCAGGGGGGTCTGTGGAGAAACCCCCACCCCTGAAATGTGGCTGTGCAGGGGGGTCTGTGGGGAGCACCCCCACCCCCAAAATGTGGCTGTGCAGGGGGGTCTGCAGGGAGCACCCCCTCCCCAAATATGGCCCTGCAGGGGGGTCTGCAGGAGAGCACCCCCCCTCCAAAATGCAACCATGCAGGGGGATCTGTGGGGAAACCCCCCCTCCCAAAATACGGCCGTGCAGGGGGGTCTGTGGGGAAACCCCCACCCCAAAATACAGCCGTGCAGGGGGGTCTGTGGGGAAACCCCCCTCCCAAAATACAGCCGTGCAGGGGGGTCTGAGGGGAAACCCCCCTCCCAAAATACAGCCGTGCAGGGGGGTCTGTGGAGAGCACCCCCACCCCCAAAACGCAGCCCTACAGGGGGGTCTGTGGGGAAACCCCCCCTCCCAAAATACAGCCGTGCAGGGGGGTCTGTGGGGAAACCCCCCCTCCCAAAATACAGCCGTGCAGGGGGGTCTGTTGGGAGCACCCCCCCTCCAAAATGCGACCATATAGGGGGGTCTGTGGGGAGCACCCCCAACCCCAAAAATGCGGCTGTGCAGGGGGGTCTAGGGAGCACCCTCCAAAATGCAACCATGCAGGGGGGTCTAGTGGGAAACCCCCACCCCAAAACGCGGCCGTGCAGGGGGGTCTGTGGAGAGCATCCCCCACCCCCCAAAATACAGCCATGCAGGGGGGTCTGAGGGAAACCTCCCCAAAACGCAGCCATGCCGGGGGGTCTGCGGGGAGCACCGGGGGATTTAGGGGGGGCTGCAGCAATGGGACACCCCCCCACTCAATTCCTGCCCCAAACCCCTCCCCCGGGGTGAAAGGGGGGTGGTCCAGGTGGCCCCAAAGAGCAGCCAGGGAGGGCTTTGATCACCCCCAGACAGTGGGGGGTGCAGCGCCGCGACCCCCCCTCAATTCCCGACCCCTCTGCCGGTTAAAGGGGGGCGGGGGGGCAGTCCAGGTGCTCTAAGCCTGTGACCTCCCAAAATCAAACCTGGGGGAGTCCAGCACCGTGACACCCCCCCCTGTAATTCCCACCTGCAGCTCCCGCTGGTCCCTGTTCCCCCTGGGAAAGCCCCTGGGAACTGGGAAAATTGGGGAGGGGGAGACAACAGAGACAATCCAGGCACCCGGCCCCCAAACCCAAACCAACCCTAGGGGGTCCCAGCCTGCTCCCTCTCCCCCAATTCCTACCCCCAGCCCCCCACCAGTCACTGTTCTCCCGGGAAAACCCTGGGAATGTTGGGGAGGGGAGCAATCCAGGCACTCCCCCAGACCCCTGTGATGGGGGCTGTACATAAACCCTGTAGGTAGAGACCCTGGGAGGGGGTCCCTGGGGGCAGCTTCTGCCTTTATTGTATCATTTTTCCGGCTAATCATCATCATCTTTTAAGGAAAAATCCGCTCCCTCCCTCCAATATGTACTCCTGTCCCGCCCTCCCCCAAAATTACCCAACTGCTGGGGACGTGTAGAAAGCACTTGTAACTTTGCTCCCTCTCGCCCCCCCCAAAAAAATTGCCCCCTCCTCGCCGGGGAGCATTTGGGGGAGGGGGCCTGTCCATGGGTGAGGGGCCCTGGCGCCCCCTCGCCTCTCGGAGGAGCCAGAGTGATTTATAATTGTTATTTTTAAAATATATATTCTATGTTAATTAAAGCCCCCTGCCCGCGCGTGGCTGATTTTGAGGGGGTCACATTGAAAGGGGAGGGGTTCAGCTGCTCCAGATCGGCCCCCTTGGTACTGCCGATCTTTGGGGTTGGGGTCCCTTACTGGGTAGGGGGGAAGTGGGGTACTGGGGTCCCTTTACTGGGGAGGGAAGGGGGTACTGGGGTCCCTTACTGGGGGAAGGGGGTACTGGGGTCCCTTACTGGGGGGAAGGGTTACTGGGGGAAGGGGGTACTGGGGTCCCTTATTGGGGGAAGGGGGTACTGGGGTCCCTTACTGGGAAGGGGGTACTGGGGTCCCTTACTGGGGAGGGAAGGGGGTACTGGGGTCCCTTATTGGGGGGAAGGGGGTACTGGGGTCCCTTACTGGGGAGGGGGAAGGGGTACTGGGGTCCCTTACTGGGGGAGGGAGGGGGTACTGGGGTCCCTTACTGGGGAGGGGGAAGGGATACTGGGGTCCCTTATTGGGGGAAGGGGGTTACTGGGGTCCCTTATTGGGGGAAGGGGTTACTGGGGTCCCTTATTGGGGAGGGGGAAGGGGGTACTGGGGTCCCTTATTGGGGGGAAGGGGGTACTGGGGTCCCTTATTGGGGGAGGGGGTACTGGGGTCCCTTACTGGGGGAAGGGGGTACTGGGGTCCCTTACTGGGGAGGGAAGGGGGTACTGGGGTCCCTTACTGGGGGAAGGGTACTGGGGTCCCTTACGGGGTGGGGAGGGGGTTACTGGGGTCCCTTATTGGGGAAGGGGTACTGGGGTCCCTTACGGGGTGGGGGAAGGGGTACTGGGGTCCCTTACTGGGGGAAGGGGTACTGGGGTCCCTTACTGGGAGGGGGAAGGGGCATTGGGTCGCTTACTGGGGAGGGGAAGGGGCACTGGGGTCCCTTACTGGGGGAGGGGAAGGGGTACTGGGGAGGAAGGGGGTACTGGGGTCCCTTACTGGGGGAAGGGGTTACTGGGGTCCCTACTGGGGGAAGGGGTACTGGGGTCCCTTACTGGGGGAAGGGTACTGGGGTCCCTTACTGGGGAGGGGAAGGGGTACTGGGGTCCCTTACTGGGGAAGGGGGCACTGGGTCCCTTATTGGGGGAAGGGGGAGGGGGTCCCTTATTGGGGGAAGGGGTTACTGGGGTCCCTTATTGGGGGAAGGGGGTACTGGGGTCCCTATTGGGGGCAGTGGGGTCTTACTGGGGGAGCTGATAAGGGGAGGGGGGAAATGGGGTCTCATTAGGGGTTACAGCGGGGTCCCCACAATTCCTGGGGCCGTGAATTCTTGGGGGTGCCTGCAGGGCTCCTGAGGGGGTCCTGGGTACCTGGGGGTCGGGGGAGTCCGGAGGGGAAGGATTTGGGGGAGGATTTGGGGGTGGGGAGGATTTGGGGTGGGCGGCCATGTCCCGCAGCGGGTCCTCCGGGCCGGCAGGGGCGCTGCGGAGCCGCGCGGGTGGCGGTCGCGGCCCGGCGGACCCAGGACGGCCCGGCCCGGCCCGGCCTGGCCCGGCCCGCAGGTACCGAGCGGGACCCTCCGCTCTGGGCGAGCCTGGGGGCTCTGGGGGACCGCAGAGAACGGGGGGACTGCGCCGAGGGGCACCGGGGGCACCGGGGGCGGCGGGTGCTGCGGACCCGGGGCAGGGCCTGTGGGGCCTGTGGGGGGAGGCGCTGTGAGGGGACACGGGGGACACGAGCAGGGGGACCCTTCTTGGGGGAGATGGAGATGTGACCCCTCAGACGAGGGGGTGTCGCTGTCACCAGGGTGACCTCACCCTCACCCCCACGACCGAGGGGGTGTCCCTCCCAGGGGGTGTCATGGTCCCCAGGGTGTGACCTCCCCAGCCAAGGGGGTGTCACGGTCCTCAGGGGCTAGGACGCCCCACCCCACATATGGGGGTGTCACCGTCCCCAGGGCGTTGTGACTCCCAGCCAGGGGGCTGTGCCCTCCCAGCCCAGGGGTGTCCCTGTCCCCAGGGGTCGTGACCTCCCGGGCAGCTGTGACCTCCTGGGGTCACGGTGCCTCTCCCCCATCCCTACCCGGGCCTCCAACGCTGGGATCGGGGATATTTTGCCCCACCCCTCCCACCCCAGGGTGTTTTGGGGTCTCTCCAGTGGAGGGCCTGGGCAGCTTTGGCCCCCGCGTGTTTTGGGGGCTGGGGGTGGCGTGGGCGTTCACGGCCCCGGCGCCTGCTTCCTTCTCTGCCTCTCGCCCCTTCTCGCCTCCGGAGGCTCCGAGGACCCCGCGGGCAAGCTGGGGTGCTGGGACGGGGAGGGGGATCTGGGGTGGGGGTCTGTGGACCCGGGGTGGGGTGGTCTGTGGACCCTGGGGCGTGGGGGCACAGGGGAGACAGGTGCAGGAGGGGGACCTCAAACTGAGGGTGAGCCTCCCAAATCGAGGGGTGTTGAGGGGGTCCCACTTCGAACACCCCAGGGCTGTGGGGAGGGTCCTGCTGGTCCCGGGGCAGGAGGGAGGGAGGGGAGGGAGGGTGGGGGTCCTGGGGTCTCACGGCGTGACCGGAAAACTCCTCCCTTCCGGCAGGGCACCCAGAGGGGAAAGGGGGAGAGCTGTAAAAGGGGGAAAAGAGGTGGGAAAGGGGGAAGGAATTGGGAAAGGGGAAGGAGCTGGGAAAAGGGGGAGAAGGAGGTGGAAAGGAGGTGGGAAAGGGGGAAGGAGCTGGGAAAGGGGGAAAGAGGTGGGAAAGGAGTTGGGACAGGGGGAAGGAGGTGGGAAAGGAGTTGGGACAGGGGAGAAGGAGCGGGGAAGGGGAAGGAGTTGGGAAAGGAGGAAGGAGTTGGGAAAGGAGCGTGAGGATGAGTGCTGGGGCTGAGGTGGAAAGGGGGAAGGAGCTGGGAAAGGGGGAGAAGGAGCTGGGAAAGGAGCTGAGAAAGGGGAAGGAGCTGGGAAAGGGGGGGAAGGAGTTGGGGAAAGGGGGAAGGAGCTGGGAAAGGAGTTGGGACAGGGGAAGGAGCTGGGAAAGGGGAAAGAGCCAGGAAAGGGAGGAGCTGGGAAAGCAGTTGGGAAAGGGGGGAAGGAGTTGGGAAAGGAGTTGGGACAGGGGAAGGAGCTGGAAAGGGGAAGGAGCTGGGAAAGGGGGAAGGAGCTGGAAAGGGGAAGCAAGGAGATGGAAAAGGGAGAAGGAGCTAGGAAAAGGGTAGAAGGAGCTGGGAAAGGGGAGAAGGATCTGGGAAAGCAGTGGAAGGGAGCTGGGAAAGGGGGAGAAGGAGCTGGGAAAGGGGAAGGAGCTGGAGTGGGGGGAAGGAGCTGGGAAAGGAGGGGGAAGGAGCTGGGAAAGGGGGAAAGGAGCTGGGACAGGGGGAAGGAGAAGGAACTGGAAAGTGGAGAAGGAACTGGGAAAGTGGGAGAAGGAACTGGGAAAGGGGGAGAAGGAGGTGGAAGGGGGAAGAACTTGAAAAAGTGGGGAAGAGTGAGAAAGTGGGAGAAGGAGTTGGGAAAGGGGGATGGAGCTGGGAAAGGGGAAGAAGGAGCTGGGAAAGGGGGGGAAGGAGGTGGGAAAGGGGAGGAAGGAGCTGGGAAAGGGGGAGAAGGAGGTGGGAAAGCAGGGGAAGGAGCTGAGAAAGGGGCGAAGGAGCTGGGAAAGGGGGAGAAGGAGCTGGGAAAGGGGGGGAAGGAGGTGGGAAAAGGGGGAAGGAGGTGGGAAAAGGGGGGAAGGAGGTGGGAAAGGGGGAAGGAGGGTGGGAAAGGGGGAAGGAGCTGGGAAAGGGGGAGAAAAGAGCTGGGAAAGGGGGAGAAGGAGTTCGGAAAGGGGGAAGGAGGTGAGAAAGGGGAGAAGAGCTGGGGAAGAAGGAGAAGGAACTGGGAAAGGGGAGAAGGAGCCTGGAAGGGAGGAGGACTTCAAAAGGGGAGAAGGAGCTGGGAAAGGGGAGAAGGAGCTGGGGAAGGAGGTGATAAAGGGAAGGAGCTGGGAAAGGGGGAAGGAGCTGGGATAGGGGCGAAGGAGGTAGGAAAAGGGGGAAGGAGGTGGGAAAAGGGGAGAAGGAGCAGGGAAAGGGGAGAACTTTGAAAAGGGGAGAACTTCGAAAAGTGGAAGGAGCTGGGAAAGGAGCTGGGAAAAGGAAAGGAGCTGGGAAAGGAAAGGAGTTGGGAAGTAAAGGAGCTGGGAAAAGGGAGAAGGAGCTGGGAAAGGGGGAAGGAGCCGGGACTGGGGAAGGGAGAAGGATCTGGGAAAGGGGGAAGGAGCTGGGAAAGGGGGGGAAGGAGCTGGGAAAGGGGGGGAAGGAGGTGGGAAACAGGGGGAGGAGTTGGGAAAGGGGGAGAAGGAGCTGTGGAAGGAGGTGATAAAGGGGGGAAGGAGCTGAGAAAGCAGGAAGGAGCTGAGAAAGGGCCGAAGGAGCTGAGAAAGGGGCGAAGGAGCTGAGAAAGGGGCGAAGGAGCTGGAAGGGGGAAGGAGCTGGCACAGGCAGAAAGAGCTGGAAAGGGGAGAAGGAGTCTGAAAGGAGGAAGGAGGTGGGAAAGGGAGAAGGAGCTGGAAGGAGCTGAGAAAGGGCTAAGGAGATGGGAAAGAGGGGAAGGAGCTGAGAAAGGGGTGAAGGAGGTGAGAAAGAGGGGAAGGAGCTCAGAAAGTGCGGGGAATGAGCTGGGAAGGGGAGGAGGAGCTGGGAACAGGTGGAAGTGAGTTGGGAAACAGGAATGAGCGTGGAAAGGGAGAAGGAGTCGGAAATGGGAAGGAGCTGGAGGATGGGGACAGGAGAAGGAGCTGAAAGGGAATGAGTCGGAAAAGGGAATGAGTTGGAAGGACAAGGAGCTGGGAGAGGTAATGAGTCAGCAGGGGAAAGAGCGAGGGGAGAAGGAGTTCGGAAAGGGGGGAAGGAGCTGGGAAAGGAGGTGGGACAGGGGGGAAGGAGTTGGGAAAGCAGGGGAAGGAGCTGGGAAAGGGGGGGAAGGAGCTGTGGAAGGAGTTTGGAAAGGGGGAGAAGGAGCTGGGAAAGGGGGAGGAGGAGCTGGGACAGGGGTGGAAGTAGTTGGGAAAACAGGGGAAGGAGCTGGGAAAGGGGAGAAGGAGGTGGGACAGGGGGAGAAGGAGGTGGGAAAGGAGCTGGGAAAGAGGGGAAGGAGTTGAGAAAGCAGGGGAAGGAGCTGAGAAAGGGGCGAAGGAGCTGGGACGGGGGGGAAGGAGCTGGTAAAGGGGGAGAAGGAGCTGGGAAAGCAGGGGAAGGAGCTGGGTAAGGAGGTGGGACAGGGGGGAAGGAGCTGGGAAAAGGAAGAAGGAGGTGGGAAAACAGGGGAAGGAGCTGGGAAAGGAACTGGGAAAGGGGGAGAAGGAGCTGGGAAAGGGGGAGAAGGAGCTGGGAAAGGAGCTGGGAAAGAGGGGAAGGAGTTGGTAAAGCAGTGGAAGGAGCTGGGAAAGGAGCTGAGAAAGGGGCGAAGGAGCTGGGAAAGCAGTGGAAGGAGCTGGGACAGGGGGGAAGGAGCTGGGGAAGGGAAGATGGAGGTGGGAAAACAGGGGAAGGAGCTGGTACAGCAGTGGAAGGAGCTGGTACAGGGGTCACGGTGTCTCCAGTGACCCTCCCGGTGTATTTAGGGCTCTGTGTGTGCGTGCACTGCCCACCCCCCCCCATCTGGCGCGAGATGGCGGACGAGAAGCCCCCAGCTGGTGGATTACTTCGTGGTGGCCGGGCTGGCCGAGGCGTCGCGGGCGCCGGAGGAGGAGGCGGCGGCGAGGCCGGCGCGCCCCGCGGAGCCCATCACGGACGTGGCCGTGATCATCCGCTCGCAGGGCGAGGAGGTGCCCCAGGGCTTCACCTGCATCGAGAGCACCACCTCGGGCCACCCCGTGGACCTCAACGCGGGGCTGCTCAACAACCCCCAGATGTTCCTGTGCTACAGGCGGGGCAGGGACAAGCCCCCCCTCGTCGAGCTGGGGTGAGGGGGGGGATTTTACCCCGAGGTGCTGCGTGGGGTGGGGGGCTCACCCGCTCACCCATGCCACGGGATTGGGGTGGGGGAGAGGTTGGAGAGCTGGGAGAGGGGATGGGGGGGTGAGGAGGTGGGTGACATGTGGGTGGAGGTGTTGAGGTGGGTGACACGTGGGTGACACGTGGGTTTAGGTGTTGAGGTGGGTGACACGTGGGTTTAGGTGGGTGACACATGGGTGGGTGGAGGTGGGTGACACGTGGGTTTAGGTGGGTAACATGTGGTTTAGGTGGGTGACACGTGGGTTTAGGTGGGTGACACGTGGGTTTAGGTGGGTGACATGTGGGTGACACGTGGGTTTAGGTGGGTGACATGTGGGTTGAGGGAGGTGGGTGACACGTGGGTTTGGGTGGGTGACACGTGGGTTTGGGTGGGTGACACGTGGGTTTAGGGAGGTGGGTGACACGTGGGTTTAGGTGTTGAGGTGGGTGACACGTGGGTTTAGGTGGGTGACACGTGGGTTTAGGTGGGTGACACGTGGGTGGAGGGAGGTGGGTGACATGTGGGTTTAGGTGGGTGACACCTGGGTTTAGGTGGGTGACACGTGGGTTTAGGTGGGTGACACGTGGGTTTAGGTGTTGAGGTGGGTGACACGTGGGTGGGTTTAGGTGGGTGACACCTGGGTTTAGGTGTTGAGGTGGGTGACACTTGGGTTTGGGTGGGTGACACGTGGGTTTAGGTGGGTGACACGTGGGTTTAGGTGGGTGACACGTGGGTTGAGGGAGGTGGGTGACACGTGGGTGACACGTGGGTTTAGGTGGGTGACGTGGGTGACACATGGGTTGAGGGAGGTGGGCGACACGTGGGTTTAGGTGGGTGACACGTGGGTTTAGGTGGGTGACATGTGGGTTCAGGTGGGTGACACGTGGGTTTAGGTGGGTGACACGTGGGTGGAGGTGGGTGACACGGGTTTAGTGGGTGACACGTGGGTTGAGGGAGGGGTGACACGTGGGCTTAGGTGGGTGACACGTGGGTTGAGGTGGGTGACACGTGGGTTTAGGTGGGTGACACGTGGGTTTAGGTGTTGAGGGGGGTGACACGTGGGTTGAGGTGGGTGACACGTGGATTTAGGGAGGTGGGTGACACGTGGGTTTAGGTGGGTGACACGTGGGTTTAGGTGGGTGACACGTGGGTTGAGGTGGGTGACACGTGGGTTTAGGTGGGTGACACGTGGGTTTAGGTAGGTGGGTGACACGTGGGTTTATGTGGGTGACATGTGGGTTGAGGTGGGTGACACGTGGGTTTAGGTGGGTGACACGTGGGTTTAGGTGGGTGACACGTGGGTGGAGGTGGGTGACACGTGGGTTTAGGTGGGTGACACGTGGGTTGAGGTGGGTGACACATGGGTGACACGTGGGTTTAGGTGGGTGACACGTGGGTTTAGGTGGGTGACACCTGGGTTGAGGTGGGTGACACGTGGGTGGAGGTGGGTGACACGTGGGTGACACATGGGTGGAGGTGGGTGACACGGGTTTAGGTGGGTGACATGTGGGTTGAGGGAGGTGGGTGACACGTGGGTTGAGGTGGGTGACACGTGGGTGACACATGGGTGGAGGTGGGTGACACGGGTTTAGGTGGGTGACATGTGGGTTGAGGGAGGTGGGTGACACGTGGGTTTAGGTGGGTGACACGTGGGTGACACGTGGGTTGAGGGAGGTGGGTGACACGTGGGTTGAGGTGTTGAGGTGGGTGACACCTGGGTTTAGGTGGGTGACACGTGGGTTTAGGTGGGTGACACCTGGGTGGGTTTAGGTGGGTGACACGTGGGTGGAGGGAGGTGGGTGACACGTGGGTGGAGGGAGGTGGGTGACACGTGGGTTTAGGTGGGTGACACGTGGGTTTAGGTGTTGAGGTGGGTGACACGTGGGTTGAGGTGGGTGACATGTGGGTGGGTTTAGGTGGGTGACACATGGGTTTAGGTGGGTGACACGTGGGTGACACGTGGGTTGAGGGAGGTGGGTGACACATGGGTGACACGTGGGTTTAGGTGGGTGACACGTGGGTTGAGGTGGGTGACACGTGGGTTGAGGGAGGTGGGTGACACGTGGGTTGAGGTGTGTGACACGTGGGTTTAGGTGGGTGACACGTGGGTTGAGGGAGGTGGGTGACACGTGGGTTTAGGTGGGTGACACGTGGGTGACACGTGGGTTTAGGTGGGTGACACGTGGGTTTAGGTGGGTGACACCTGGGTTTAGGTGGGTGGGTGACACGTGGGTTTAGGTGAGTGACACGTGGGTTTAGGTGGGTGACACGTGGGTGGGTTTAGGTGGGTGACACGTGGGTTTAGGTGGGTGACACGTGGGTGGGTTTAGGTGGGTGACACCTGGGTTTAGGTGTTGAGGTGGGTGACACGTGGGTGGGTTTGGGTGGGTACACGTGGGTTTAGGTGGGTGACACCTGGGTTGGGTCGGCCACGGGGACAGGACAGGGGTGGTCACACCTTGAGTGGGGTCTGGGTCCCTCAATTCCCACGGAGGGGCTGGAGCAGCGGGAGAAGGGGGTGGAGAAACTCCTGAGGGAGCTGGGGGCTCAGCCTGGAGAAAAGGAGGCTCAGGGGGCACCTCCTGGCTCTGGAATTCCCTGCCAGGAGGGGGAGCTGGGGGCTCAGCCTGGAGAAAAGGAGGCTCAGGGGGCACCTCCTGGCTCTGGAATTCCCTGACAGGAGGGGGGAGCTGGAGGGGCTCAACCTGGAGAAAAGGAGGCTCTGGGGGCACCTCCTGGCTCTGGAATTCCCTGACAGGAGGGGGGAGCTGGAGGGGCTCAACCTGGAGAAAAGGAGGCTCAGGGGGCACCTCCTGGCTCTGGAATTCCCTGCCAGGAGGGGGGAGCTGAGGGGGGGTCAGGATCTTCTCCCAGGGAACAGGGACAGGAGGAGAGGGAACATCCTCCAGCTGTGCCAGGGGAAGGGCAGGTTGGGCATCAGCAGGAATTTCCCCATGGAAAGGGTGGTTGGGCACTGGAAAGGGCTGCCCAGGGAGGTTTGGAGTGCCCAGCCCTGGAGGTGCCCAAGGACGTGGCACTGAGTGACGAGGTGGGGAAGTGGTCACAGGCTGGACTGGCTGATCCTGGAGCTCTTTCCCAAGCGATTCCAGGATTGTTCCACTCCAGGATCCCCAGGAAGGGTCCCCCTCACCCTTGTGTGTGTCCCCCCCCACCTCTTGCCAACCCCAGGGTGCACTACGAGGGCAAGGACCGTCCCAAGCCGGGCTACCAGATCCTGGACACGACCCCCTACAGCCGTTCTGCCAACCTGGCCTCGGGCTCCCCGGGCCATCAGCGCACATTCCTGACGTTCCGGCGCTCGGCAGAGCCCCCCGGGCACCACAGCCTGGGCGTCACCGACATCTGCCTCGTCATGCCCAGCAAGGGAGAGACCACCCCCCACACCTTCTGCCGCGTCGACAGGAACCTCAACACCGGCATGGTGGGTCTGCAGGGCCTGGAGATTCCTCCCAAATCCCTATCCCGATCCCAATCCCAATCCTGATCCCAATCTTCCTCGCAGTGGGGCCCCGCCCTGTTCCTGTGCTACAAGATCGCCGTGGCCAAGGGCAACACGCTGGTCTACGAGGCAGGTGGGGAGCTCAGAAACCCCCACCAAAAAGGGACTTTGGAGTGGTTTGTTATCGTTGTTTTTTGTTAAAAAGTGTGGTTTTGTGGGAATTCACTCCTCCCCCTCCCTGCTGGCATGGATTTTTGGAGGAGGGGGTGGGTGGAGCACCAGGGCCTCCTTGGGAGTGAGGGGGAATTTTGGGGAGTAAAATTTGGGGAGCCCCCCCCCCCCTTGGGGCTGGGGGCTCTTAGTGGGGAGGAGGGGGGTAGTGGGGTCCTTTATTGGGACAGGGGCTAAGGGGTACCTTACTGGGGTCTCTGACTGGGGGGAGTGACAACAGGGTCCCTTACTGGGGGAAATGTGATCCCTTACTGGGGGGGCAATGTGGTCCCTTATTGGGGGGGCAATGGGGTCCCTTACTGGGGGCAATGTGGTCCCTTATTGGGGGGCAATGGGGTCCCTTATTGGGGGGCTTTGGGGTCCCTTACTGGGGGAAATGTGGTCCCTTACTGGTGGGGCAATGGGGTCCCTTACTGGGGGAAATGGTGTCCCTTACTGGGGGAAATGTGGTCCCTTACTGGGGGGCAATGGGGTCCCTTCCTGGGGGAAATGTGGTCCCTTACTGGGGGGGCAATGGGGTCCCTTACTGGGGGGGCAATGTGGTCCCTTATTGGGGGGGCTTTGGGGTTCCTTACTGGGGGAAATGTGGTCCCTTACTGGGGGGGCAATGGTGTCCCTTACTGGGGGAAATGTTGTCCCTTACTGGGGGGGCAGTGGGGTCCCTTACTGGGGGAAATGTGATCCCTTACTGGGGGCTTTGGGGTCACTTACTGGGGGAAATGTGGTCCCTTACTGGGGGCAATGTGGTCCCTTACTGGGGGAAATGTGGTCCCTTACTGGGGGGGCAGTGGGGTCCCTTACTGGGGGAAATGTGGTCCCTTACTGGGGGCAATGGTGTCCCTTACTAGGGGGGCAATGGGGTCCCTTACTGGGGGGCAATGGGGTCCCTTACTGGGGGAGATGTGGTGCCTTACTGGGGGGGCAATGGGATCCCTTACTGGGGGGGCAGTGGGGTCCCTTACTGGGGGAAATGGTGTCCATTACTGGGGGAAATGTGGTCCCTTACTGGGTGGGCTTTGGGGTCCCTTACTGGGCGAAATGTGGTCCCTTACTAGGGGGTTAATGCTGTCCCTTACTGGGGGAAATGTGTTCCCTTACTGGGGGAAATGTGGTCCCTTACTGGGGGGCAGTGGGGTCCCTTATTGGGGGGGCAGTGGGGTTCCTTACTGGGGGAAATGTGGTCCCTTACTGGGGGGGAAATGTGGTGCCTTACTGGGGGAAATGTGCTGCCTTACTGGGGGAGATGTGGTGCCTTACTGGGGGGGCAATGGGGTCCCTTATTGGGGGGGCAATGGGGTCCCTTATTGAGGGGGCAATGGGGTCCCTTACTGGGGGGGCAATGGTGTTCCTTACTGGGGGAAATGTGTTCCCTTACTGGGGGGCAATGTGGTCCCTGACTGGGGGAAATGTGATCCCTTACTGGGGGAAATGTGTTCCCTTGCTGGGGGGCAATGTGGTCCCTGACTGGGGGAAATGTGATCCCTTACTGGGGGAAATGTGGTCCCTTACTGGGGGGGCAATGGTGTTCCTTACTGGGGGAAATGTGGTCCCTTACTGGGGGGCAGTGGGGTCCCTTACTGGGGGAGCAATGGTGTCCATTACTGGGGGAAATGTGGTCCCTTACTGGGGGGGCAATGGGGTCCCTTACTGGGGGTAAATGTGGTCCCTTACTGGGGGGGCAATGGGGTCCCTAACTGGGGGAAATGTGGTCTCTTACTGGGGGGTTAATGGTGTTCCTTACTGGGGGAAATGTGTTCCCTTACTGGGGGGGCAATGGGGTCCCTTACTGGGGGGGCAATGGTGTCCCTTACTGGGGGGCAATGGGGTCCCTTACTGGGGGGGCAATGTGGTCCCTTACTGGGGGGAAATGTGTTCCCTTACTGGGGGGGCAATGTGGTCCCTTACTGGGGGCAATGTGGTCCCTTACTGGGGGGGCAATGTGGTCCCTTACTGGGGGAAATGTGTTCCCTTACTGGGGGGATTTGGGGTCCCTTACTGGGGGGGCAATGGGGTCCCTTACTGGGGGGCTTTGGGGTCCCTTACTGGTGGGGCAATGGGGTCCCTAACTGGGGAAATGTGGTCTCTTACTGGGGGGTTAATGGTGTTCCTTACTGGGGGGGTTAATGTGATCCCTTACTGGGGGGTTAATGGTGTTCCTTACTGGGGGGGCAATGGAGTCCCTTACTGGGGAGGCAATGGGGTCCCTTACTGGGGGAAATGTGGTCCCTTACTGGGGGGCAATGGGGTTCCTTACTGGGGGAAATGTGGTCCCTTACTGGGGGAAATGTGGTCCCTTACGGTGGGGGGCAATGGTGTCCATTACTGGGGGGGCTTTGGGGTCCCTTACTGGGGGAAATGTGGTCCCTTACTGGGGGGCAATGGGGTCCCTTACTGGAGGGCTTTGGGGTCCCTGACTGGGGGGGCAATGGTGTCACTTACTGGGGGCAATGGGGTCCCTTACTGGGGGCAGTGGGTCCCTTACTGGGGGGCAATGGTGTCCCTTACTGGGGAGCTTTGGGGTCCCTGACTAGGGGGGCAATGGGGTCCCTTACTGGGGGGCAGTGGGGTCCCTTACTGGGGGGCAATGGGGTCCCTTACTGGGGGAAAGGTGGTCCCTTACTGGGGGCAATGGGATCCCTTACTGGGGGCTTTGGGGTCCCTGACTGGGGGGGCAATGGGGTCCCTTACTGGGGGTCAGTGTCCTTTACTGGGGCAATGGGGAGGCAGTTGGATCTCTTCCTGTGGGGAGGTTTTAGGGGGTGGTTTTGGGGCTCTCTCCTTGCTGGGATGTGGGAGCTGAGCTGGGGGTCTCACCCTGCCGTCCCCGTCCCCCAGGGCTCCTGAGCCGGTACCCCGAGCAGGACAGCGAGGCAGTTGGATCTCTTCCTGTGGGGAGGTTTCAGGGGGTGGTTTTGGGGCTCTCTGGGCAGCAGCTTTTTACTGGGATGTGGGAGCTGAGCTGGGGGGTCTCACCCTGCCGTCCCCGTGTCCCCCAGGGCTCCTGAGCCGGTACCCCGAGCAGGACAGCGAGGCAGTTGGATCTCTTCCTGTGGGGAGGTTTTTAGGGGGTGGTTTTGGGGCTCTCTCCTTGCTGGGGGTCTCACCCTGCCGTCCCCGTGTCCCCCAGGGCTCCTGAGCCGGTACCCCGAGCAGGACAGCGAGGCGTTCCCGCTGCCCGAGTCGGTGCCCGTGTTCTGCCTGCCCATGGGGGCCACCATCGAGAGCTGGCCCGCGGGCACCAAGTACCCCCTGCCCGTCTTCTCCACCTTCGTCCTCACCGGCGCCTCGGGGGACAAGGCACGGGGGGCTCGGGGCACCAGGGGGGTCTTGGGGCACCAGGGGGCTCAGGGGGGTACCTGGGGCTGTAGGATGGGGGTCCCCAGTGCCCAGTGTCCCCAAGTGCCACAGGTCTCCAATGCCACAGGATGGGGGTCCCCAGCTCTGTGTGGCCCCAGTGCCCAGTGTCCCCAGTGCCATGGCTGTGTGTCCCCAGTGCCCTGGGCTGTGTGTCCCCAATGCCATGGGATGAGGGGCCCCAGTGCCCAGTGTCCCCAGTGCCCAGTGTCCCCAGTGCCATGGCTATGTGTCCCCAATGCCATGGGATGAAGGTCCCCAGTACCACAGGTCCCCAGTGCCCAGTGCCCCCAGTGCCATGGCTATGTGTCCCCAATGCCATGGGATGAAGGTCCCCAGTACCACAGGTCCCCAGTGCCCAGTGCCCCCAGTACCCTGGGCTGTGTGTCCCAAATGCCACAGGTCCCCAGTGCCCCCAGTGCCCTGGGCTGTGTCCCCAGTACCACAGGTCCCCAGTGCCCAATGTCCCCAGTACCATGGGCTGTGTCCCCATCTCAGCGTGCCCGGTGTCCCCATCTCAGCATGCCCAGTGTCCCCATCTCAGCATGCCCGGTGTCCCCAGCTCAGCATGCCCGGTGTCCCCATCCCTGCATGCCCAGTGTCCCCATCTCAGCATGCCCGGTGTCCCCATCTCTGCATGCCCAGTGTCCCCACCTCAGCATGCCCGGTGTCCCCATCTCAGCATGCCCAGTGTCCCCACCTCAGCATGCCCGGTGTCCCCAGCTCAGCATGCCCGGTGTCCCCATCCCTGCATGCCCAGTGTCCCCATCCCTGCATGCCCAGTGTCCCCATCTCTGCATGCCCAGTGTCCCCATCTGTGCATGCCCGGTGTCCCCAGCTCAGCATGCCCGGTGTCCCCATCTGTGCATGCCCAGTGTCCCCATCTCAGCATGCCCGGTGTCCCCATCTCAGCATGCCCGGTGTCCCCATCCCTGCATGCCCGGTGTCCCCATCCCTGCATGCCCGGTGTCCCCATCTGTGCATGCCCGGTGTCCCCATCCCTGCATGCCCGGTGTCCCCATCCCTGCATGCCCGGTGTCCCCATCTCTCTCAGCGTGCCCGGTGTCCCCATCTCAGCATGCCCGGTGTCCCCATCTCAGCATGCCCGGTGTCCCCATCCCTGCGTGCCCAGTGTCCCCATCCCTGCATGCCCGGTGTCCCCATCTCTGCATGCCCCGTGTCCCCATCTGTACATGCCCGGTGTCCCCATCCCTGCATGCCCGGTGTCCCCATCTCTCTCAGCATGCCCGGTGTCCCCATCTGTGCATGCCCGCTGTCCCCAGCACCACGGGCTGTGTCCCCATCTCTCTCAGCGTGCCCGGTGTCCCCAGCACCACGGGCTGTGTGTCCCCATCTCAGCATGCCCGGTGTCCCCATCCCTGCATGCCCAGTGTCCCCAGCACCACGGGCTGTGTCCCCATCCTCTCAGCATGCCCGGTGTCCCCATCTCAGCGTGCCCGGTGTCCCCAGCAGCACGGGCTGTGTCCCCATCCCTGCATGCCTGGTGTCCCCATCCCTGCATGCCCGGTGTCCCCATCACCACGGGCTGTGTCCCTATCTCTGCATGCCCGGTGTCCCCATCCCTGCATGCCCGGTGTCCCCATCCCTGCATGCTCCGTGTCCCCACCTTAGCGTGCCCGGTGTCCCCAGCACCTCGGGACGAGTGTCCCCATCTCAGCATGCCCAGTGTCCCCATCCCTGCCTGCCCGGTGTCCCCAGCACCACGGGCTGTGTCCCCATCCCTGCCTGCCCGGTGTCCCCAGCACCACGGGCTGTGTCCCCATCCCTGCATGCCCGGAGTCCCCATCTCTCTCAGCATGCCCGCTGTCCCCAGCACCACAGGACGAGTGTCCCCATCCCTCTCAGCATGCTCGGTGTCCCCAGCACCACAGGACGAGTGTCCCCATCTCTCTCAGCATGCCCGGTGTCCCCATCACCACAGAACGAGTGTCCCCATCTCTCTCAGCGTGCCCGGTGTCCCCAGCAGCACGGGCTGTGTCCCCATCTCTCTCAGCATGCCGGCTGTCCCCAGCACCACGGGCTGTGTCCCCATCTCTCTCAGCATGCCCGCTGTCCCCAGCACCACGGGCTGTGTCCCCATCTCTCTCAGCATGCCGGCTGTCCCTATCTCTGCATGCCCGATGTCCCCATCTCTCTCAGCGTGCCCGCTGTCCCCAGCACCACGGGACGAGTGTCCCCATCTCTCTCAGCATGCCCAGTGTCCCCATCTCTCTCAGCATGCCCCGTGTCCCCAGCACCACAGGACGAGTGTCCCCATCTCTCTCAGCATGCCCGGTGTCCCCATCTCTCTCAGCATGCCCAGTGTCCCCATCTCTCTCAGCATACCCGGTGTCCCCATCACCACAGGCTGTGTCCCCATCTCTCTCAGCGTGCCGGCTGTCCCTATCTCAGCATGCCCAGTGTCCCCATCTCAGCATGCCCAGTGTCCCCAGCACCACAGGACAGTGTCCCCATCTCTCTCAGCATACCCGGTGTCCCCATCACCACGGGCTGTGTCCCCATCTCTCTCAGCGTGCCTGGTGTCCCCAGCACCACAGGCTGTGTCCCCATCCCTGCATGCCCGGTGTCCCCATCTCTCTCAGCATGCCCGCTGTCCCCAGCACCACAGGCTGAGTGTCCCCATGTCTCTCAGCGTGCCGGCTGTCCCCTCAGTGTCCCCTCTCCCCACCCACACCTCCCCCCGTGTCCCCCCCCGCAGGTTTACGGCGCTGCCATCCAGTTCCACGAGGCGTTCCCGCGGGAGCGGCTGTCGGAGGGGCAGGCGCTGCGCCTGGGGCTGCTCAGCGTGGTGGACAAGCGGCCGGTGCCGGGCCGCTCCCTGCACACCCGCAAGAGCATCTGCGTGCTGTCCCACTGGCCCTTCTTCGACGTGTTCCGCAAGTTCCTCATGTTCATCTACCGCTACTCCATCTCCGGCCCCCACGTGCTGCCCCTCGAGACGTGAGCGGGGGGACCGGGGAGGAGCGGGGGACCGGGGAGGAGCGGGGGGACCGGGGAGGAGCGGGGGGATCGGGGAGGAGCGGGGGGATCGGGGAGGAGCGGGGAGGGATCGGGGGCGTGTGGGGGCGGGATCGGGGAGGAGCGGGGAGGAGCGGGGGAGGATCGGGGGCGTGTGGGGAGGATCGGGGAGGGAGCGGGGGGGCGTGGGAGGGATCGAGGGGAGCGGGAGGCGAGGAGGGAGCGGGGGCGTGTGGGAGAGGATCGAGGGAGTGGGGCGTGTGGGGTGGGATCGGGGAGGGAGCGGGGGCGTGTGGGGGCGAGATCGGGGAGGGATCGGTGGGGCATTTGGGGCGTGTGGGGCGGATCGGGGAGGGATCGAGGGGGCGTTTGGGGCCGGGATCGGGGAGGGAGCGGGGGCGTGTGGGAGGGGATCGGGGAGGGATCGGGGAGGGCGTGTGGGGAGGGATCGGGGAGGGATCGAGGGGGCGTTATCGGGGAGGGATTGGGGGGCGTGTGGGGCGGGATCGGGGGAGGAGCGGGGGATCAGGGAGGAGCGGGGGGCGTGTGGGGCGGCATCAGGGAGGGATCGGGGAGGCGTGTGGGGCGGGATCGGGGAGGGATCGGGGAGGGATCGGGGAGGATCGGGGAGGGGGCGTGTGGGGCGGGATCGAGGAGGGATCGGGGAGGGATCGGGGGAGGGATCGGGGGGGCGTGTGGGGCAGGATCAGGGGAGGGATCGGGAGGGGCGTGTGGGGCGGGATCGAGGAGGATCGGGGAGGATCGAGGGCGTATGGGGCGGGATCGGGGAGGATCGGGGTGTTTGGAGCAGGACAGGGGGTGGGGTTAGGGCGGGATTAGGGGTGGGTTTGTGCTAGGGAGGGGCCTGGGGTTAAAGTGGGGTTGGGGGGGAGTTCGGGGGGATTCCGGGGTGGGTTTGGGGGTGAGTTTTGGGTGGGTTTTGGGGCTGAGTTTGGGGTGGGTTTTGATGTGAGTTTGGGGTGGGTTTGAGATGACATTGAGGTGGGTTTTGATGTGAGTTTGGGCTGGGTTTGGGGCTGGATTTGGACTGGGTTTTGAGGTGATTTTGGGCTGGGTTTGGGCTGGCTTTGAGGATGAGTTTGGGATGGATTTTGAGATGAGTTGGGGCTGGGTTTGGGAATGGATTTGGGCTGGGTTTGAGGTGGGTCTTGGGCTGGGTTTAGGGCTGGGTTTGAGGATGGGTTTAAGGCTGGGTTTGAGGATGAGTTTGAACTGGGTTTGAGGATGGATTTGGGGTGGGGTTTGATGCGAGTTTGGGCTGGGTTTGGGGGTAGGTTTGAGGATGGGTTTGGGCTGGGTTTGAGGATGAGTTTGGGCTGGGTTTGGGGCTGGATTTGGACTGGGTTTTGAGATGATTTTGGGCTGGGTTTGTGCTGGGTTTGAGGATGAGTTTGGACTGGGTTGGAGGATGGATTTGGGCTGGGTTTGAGGTGACTTTGGGCTGGGTTGGAGGATGGATTTGGGCTGGGTTGGAGGATGGATTTGGGCTGGGTTTGAGGATGGATTTGGGCTGGGTTTGAGGATGGATTTGGGCTGGGTTTGAGGATGGATTTGGGCTGGGTTTGGGGCTGGGTTTGGGGCTGGGTTTGAGGTGACTTTGGGCTGGGTTTGGGGCTGGGTTGGAGGATGAGTTTGGACTGGGTTTGAGGTGACTTTGGGCTGGGTTTGAGGTGACTTTGGTCTGTGTTTGAGGATGAGTTTGGGCTGGGTTGGAGGATGGATTTGGGCTGGGTTGGAGGATGGATTTGGGCTGGGTTTGAGGTGACTTTGGACTGGGTTTGAGGTGACTTTGAGCTGGGTTTGGGGCTGGGGTGACCCGTGGGGCTCTCTCCCCACAGGCACATCTCCCACTTCATGCACAACGTGCCCTTCCCGTCCCCGCAGCGCCCGCGGATCCTGGTCCAGGTGAGCCACCTGGGTGGGGGTCCCAGTGCCCCCCAACACCTCCCCGTGCCCCCCACCCTCCCCCATGGCCACAGTGACCCCATCACACCCCTCCCTGTCCCCACAGATGTCCCCCTACGACAGCCTGCTGCTGTGCCGGCCCGTGTCGTCCCCGCTGCCGCTCAGGTGGGGGCATTTTTGGGGTCCTGATGGGTTGGGATGGGGGCTGTGGGGGCATCCCAGTGACTCCCCCACCCCTTCCCCCACCTCAGCGGGGCGAGTTTCCTGACGCTGCTGCAGAACCTGGGCCCTGACAACGCCGTGGCCCTGCTGGTGGCCGTGCTGACCGAGCAGAAGCTGCTGATCCACTCGCTGCGCCCCGACGTGCTGACCAGCGTGGGAGAGGCCCTGGTGGCGGTGAGTGGGGTGGGGTCAGTGCTGGGGGGATGAGAGGGGTGGGGTGCAGGGCTGGGGATCCCCCGTTCTCTGGGGGGACTGGGGATCCCCCGTTCTATGGGGCTGGGGAGCCCCAATCCTGTGGGACTGGGGACCCACTGGAGACCCCAGTCCTGTGGCACTTGAGGCCCTGGTCCCACAGCTCTGGGGGTCCTGGTCCCACAGCTCTGGGGATCCTGGTCCCACAGCTCTGGGGATTCTGGTCCCACAGCTCTGGGACCCCACAGTTCTGGGATTGATCCTGGTCCCAGAGCTCTGGAGCCCCCCGTGGTGCCGGGGGATCCCCCCATCCCATCCCATCCCATCCCATCAATCCCATCCCATCCCATCCCATCCCATCCCATCCCATCCCATCCCATCCCATCAATCCCATCCCATCCCATCAATCCCATCCCATCCCATCAATCCCATCAATCCCATCCCATCAATCCCATCCCATCCCATCAATCCCTGTATCCCATCCCATCCCTGTATCCCATCCCATCAATCCCATCCATCCCATCCCATCAATCCCAGTATCCCATCAATCCCAGTATCCCATCAATCCCAGTATCCCATCCATCCCATCCCATCCCATCACTCATCCCATCCCATCCCATCCCATCCCATCCCATCCCATCACATCCCATCAATCCCATCCCATCCCATCCCTATCCCATCAATCCATCTGTATCCCATCCCATCCCATCAATCCCATCATCCCATCCATCAATCCCATCAATCCTATCCCATCAATCCCATCCCATCCCATCAATCCCATCCCATCAATCCCATCCCATCCCATCCCATCAATCCCATCCCATCCATCCCATCATTCCCATCCCATCCCATCAATCCCATCAATCCCATCCCATCAATCCCATCAATCCCATCCCTATATCCCATCCCATCCCATCCCTGTATCCCATCCCATCCCATCCCATCAATCCCATCAATCTCATCAATCCCGTCAATCCCATCCCATCCCATCCCTGTATCCCATCCCATCCCCATCTCCACCCTCCCCCATCCCCCATCCCCACGCTCTCTCCTCTCGGGGTTCCTTCTTTCGGCACTGACGGCGCTCGTCCTGTCCCCAGATGATCTTCCCCCTGCGCTGGCAGTGCCCCTACATCCCGCTGTGCCCGCTGGCGCTGGCTGACGTGCTGTGTGCCCCCGTGCCCTTCATTGTAGGCATCCACTCCAGCTACTTCGACCTCTACGAGCCCCCCCGCGACGTCATCTTCGTCGACCTGGACACCAACACCATCTTCCAGTGAGTGTCCCTGCCTTTGGGGGGGAGAAAGGGAGGTCTGGGGGCGGTGCCCACCCCCTGCCCTCCCTGCCCTGTGTCCCCCACACCCCTCCAGGAGCGAGGAGAGGAAGCTGCTGCCGCCCCGGGCGCTGCCCCGCCGGCCCTGCAAGGTCCTGCTGGCCACCCTGCACAGCCTGGCCCAGCAGCTGGATGAGCGTGAGTGGGGGGCCTGGGGGTCCTGGGGGTGTCTGGGGGTCCTGGGGTCCCTGGAGGGGGGTTGGGAGTTAGGGTTAGGGGTTAGGGGTTGGGGTCCTGCAGGTCCTGCTGGCCACCCTGCACAGCCTGGCCCAGCAGCTGGATGAGCGTGAGTGGGGGGCCTGGGGGTCCTGGGGGTGTCTGGGGGGTCCTGGGGGTCCTATGGGGGTCTGGGGGGTTAGGGTTAGGAGTTGGGGTCCTGCAGGTCCCGCTGGCCCACCTGCACAGCCTGGCCCAGCAGCTGGATGAGTGTGAGTGGGGGGCCTGGGAGTCCTGGGGTCCTGGGGGTCTGGAGGGTTAGGGTTAGAGTTGGGATGTGAGTGGGGGTCCTGGGGGTGTCTGGGGGGTCTGGAGGGGGTTAGGGTTAGGGCTGGGGTCCTGCTGGCCACCCTGCAGCCTGGCCCAGCAGCTGGATGAGCGTGAGTGGGGGGCCTGGGGGTCTGGGGGTCCTATGGGGTCTGGGGGTTAAGGTAGGGTTGGGCGTTAGGGTTGAGTCCTGCAAGGTCCTGCTGGCCACCCTGCACAGCCTGGCCCAGCAGCTGGATGAGCGTGAGTGGGGGCCTGGGGGGTCCGGAGTCCTATGGAGTCCTGGGGGGTCAGGGTTAGGGTTGAGGTCCTGCAAGGTCCTGCTGGCCACCCTGCACAGCCTGGCCCAGCAGCTGGATGAGTGTGAGCTGGGGTAGCCTGAGAGGTCACAAGAGGGTTGGGGGGGTCCTGGGAGGGGTCCTGGATGGGGGTTAGGGTCCTGGGGTTAGGGTTAGGGTTGGGGTCCTGGGGTCCTGCTGGCCACCCTGCACAGCCTGGCCCAGCAGCTGGATGAGCGTGAGTGGGGGTCCTGGGGGTCCTGGGGGTCCTAGGGGTAGTCCTGAGGGGTCCTGGGCTAGGGTCCTACTAGCAGCTGGACGAGTCCAGTGGGGGGGCCTGGGGGTCTGAGAGGTTGGGGTCCTGCAGGAGGTCCTGCTGGCCAGTCCTGGAGGGGTCCTGGGGTCCTATGGGGGTCTGGGGGGTTAGGGTCTAGGTTGGGGGTCACTAGTAGGTCCTGCTGGCCACCCTGCACAGCCTGGCCCAGCAGCTGATGAGCTGGTGAGTCTGGGGCCTGGGGTCCTAGGGGAGGTCTGGTAGGCTAGGGTGTAGAGTGGGGGCTAGGCTAGGTTAGGGTCCTGCTGGCCACCCTGCACAGCCTGGCCCAGCAGCTGGATGAGATGTGAGTGGGGTGGGTCTGGGGGTCCTGGGGTCTATGGGGTCCTGGGAGGGGTTAGGGTTAGGTTGGGGTCCTGCTGGCCACCCTGCACAGCCTGGCCCAGCAGCTGGATGAGCGTGAGTGGGGGTCCTGGGGGTCTGGGGGTCCTAGTAGGGGTCTAGGGGTTAGGGTTCAGGCTGGGGTTAGGGTTAGGGTCCTGGGTCCTGCTGGCCACCCTGCACAGCCTGGCCCAGCAGCTGGATGAGCGTGAGTGGGGCCTGGGGTCTGGGGTCCTATGGGGGTCCTAGGGGTTAGGCTAGGTTGGGGTCCTGCAAGGTCCTGCTGGCCACCCTGCACAGCCTGGCCCAGCAGCTGGATGAGTGTGAGTGGGGGTCCTGGGGTCCTGAGGGGTCCTGAGAGGGTCCTGGGGGTCCTGAGAGTTAGGGGTTAGGGTTGGGTCCTGCAAGGTCCTGCTGGCCACCCTGCACAGCCTGGCCCAGTAGCTGGATGAGTGTGAGTGGGGTCCTGGGGTCCTGGGCGGGGTTAGGGTTAGGCTGGGGTCCTGCAAGGTCCTGCTGGCCACCCTGCACAGCCTGGCCCAGCAGCTGGATGAGCGTGAGTGGGGGTCCTGGGGTCCTATGGGGGGTCCTGGGGGTGTTAGGGTTAGGGTTGAGTCCTGTGGCCACCCTGCACAGCCTCGGCCCAGCAGCTGGATGAGTGTGAGTGGGGGCCTGGGGTCCTGAGGAGGTCCTGGGGTCCTGAGGAGGTCCTGGGGATCCTGAGGGGTCCTGGGGTCCTATGGGGGTCCTGGGGGCTAGGGCTAGGCTGGGGTCCTGTAAGGTCCTGCTGGCCACCCTGCACAGCCTGGCCCAGCAGCTGGATGAGCATGAGTGGGGTCCTATGGGGTCATGGGGTCCTGGGGTCTGGGGGTTAGGGTTAGCTGTTGAGGTCCTGCAGTCCTGCGCACCCTGCACAGCCTGGTCCAGCAGCTGGATGAGCGTGAGTGGGGCCTGGGGTCATGGTCCTAGTCCTGGAGGCTAGGTTAGAGTTGATGTGAGTGGGGTCCTAGGGTGTCTGGGGTTAGGCGGGTTCCACTTCACCCGCCCCATCACAGTTCTGCCCCACCCCGCCCCATCACAGTTCCGCTCCCCCAAGCCGTGCCCATCTCTGACCTCCCGAGCCGTGCCCATCTCTGCTCCCCCGAGCCGTGCCCATCTCTGACCCCTTTTTCCCCCGAACCGTGCCCATCTCTGACCCCCCTGATGTGCCCATCTCTGACCCCGAGCCTGTGCCCATCTCTGACTCCCCCAAGCCGTGCCCATCTCTGACCCCCTGATGTGCCCATCTCTGACCCCCCAAGCCATGCCCATCTCTGACCCCCCAAGCCGTGCCCATCTCTGACCCACCCCGAGCCGTGCCCATCTGTGACTTCCCCAGCCGTGCCCATCTCTGACCCCCAAGCCGTGCCCATCTCTGACCCCCCCGAGCCGTGCCCATCTCTGACCCCCGAGCTGTGCCCATCTCTGCTCCCCCGAGCTGTGCCCATCTGTGACCCCCGAGCCGTGCCCATCTCTGACCCCTTTTTCCCCGAGCCGTGCCCATCTCTGACCCCCGAGCCGTGCCCATCTCTGACCCCCCCAAGCCGTGCCCATCTCTGACCCCCCTGAGCTGTACTCCATCTCTGACCCCCTCTCTTTCCCCCCTCTCGTGCCCATCTCTGACCCCTCTTTTCCCCCTCTGTGCCCATCTCTGACCCCCTTTTTCCCCGAGCCGTGCCCATCTCTGCTCCCCCCGCTGTGCCCATCTCTGACCCCCTCTTTTCCCCTCTGTGCCCATCTCTGACCCCTCTTTTCCCCCCTGAGCTGTACCCATCTCTGACCCCCTCTTTTCCCCTCTGTGCCCATCTCTGACCCCTCTTTTCCCCCTCTGTGCCCATCTCTGACCCCCAAGCCATGCCCATCTCTGACCCCCTGTTTTTTCCCCCCAAGCCATGCCCATCTCTGACCCTGTTTTCCCCCCTCTGTGCCCGCAGTGCTGAGCGCTCCGGACGAGGCCCCCCCGGAGCTGGTTCTGAGCGCGGCGGAGGGTGCGGGGGCTCGGCGGGCACAGCTGGAGCTGGAGGCACGGGCGGCCTTCCTGCGCTTCATGGCCTGTGCCCTGCGCGGGTACCGCTCCTTCCTGCGGCCCATCGCGCCCGCCCCCGCGCCCGCCGAGCGCGACGCCGCCAGCCTCTTCGCCCTGCAGGGTCAGTGCCGTGCCTGGGGGGGCGTGGGGACCCTCCTGTGCCACCCCATCCTGTGCCATCCTGGGGGGTGACCCTCCTGTGCTGTCCCATCCTGTCCCATCCTGGGGGGTGACCCTCCTGTGCCATCCCCTCCTGGGGGGGCGTGGGGACCCTCCTGTGCCACCCCATCCTGTCCCATCCTGGGGGGTGACCCTCCTGTGCCATCCCCTCCTGGGGCATGGGACCTCCTGTGCCACCCCATCCTGTCCCATCCTGGGGGGTGACCCTCCTGTGCCACCCCATCCTGTCCCATCCTGGGGGGTGACCCTCCTGTGCCATCCCCTCCTGGGGGGGCATGGGGACCCTCCTGTGCCACCCCATCCTGTCCTGGGGGGTGACCCTTCTGTGCCACCCCATCCTGTCCTGGGGGGTGACCCTTCTGTGCCATCCCCTCCTGTGCCATCCCGTGGGGACCCTCCTGTGCCGTCCCATCCCGTCCTGGGGGGTGACCCTCCTGTGCCATCCCCTCCTGTGCCATCCCGTGGTGACCCTCCTGTGCTGTCCCATCCCCTCCTGGGGGGTGCCATGGGGACCCTCCTGTGCTGTCCCATCCCCTCCTGGGGGGTGCCATGGGGACCCTCCTGTGCTGTCCCATCCCGTCCTGGGGGGTGACCCTTCTGTGCCATCCCCTCCTGTAGCCATCCTGCAGGACCCTCCTGTGCCATCCCATCCTGTCCTGGGTGACCCTTGCCATGCCTCCATCCTATCCTGGGGTGAGCCTCCCCTGTGCCATTCCATGGTGACCCTCCTGTGCCATCCCATCCTGGGGGGTGACCCTCCTGTGCCGTCCCCTCCTGTGCCATCCCATGGTGACCCTCCTGTGCCGTCCCATCCTGGGGGGTGACCCTCCCGTCCCATCCCATGGTGACCCTCCTGTGCCATCCCATCCCATCCTGGGGGGTGACCCTCCCATCCCATCCCATGGTGACCCTCCTGTGCCATCCCCTCATGTCCCATCCTGGGGCTCCTGTCCCATCTCTGGTGGCGCCTCCTGTGCCATCCCATCCTGTGCATCCTGTGCCATCTCTGTCTCATCTCCTACTGGGCCTCCAGTGGTGACCCTCCTGTGCCATCCTCATCCCATCCCGCCTGGGGTGACCCTCCCTGCCATCCTTGACTCGCCATCCCTGCCTGGTGACCCATCCTATCCGGTGACCCTCCTGTCCCATTCCATGGGCCTCCTGGCACATCTGGGACCCTCTGTGCCATCCCCCTGTGCCATCCCTGACCCTCCTGCCTGCCCCATCCCGTGGTGACCCTCCTGTCCCATCCTGGGGGGTGGTGTGGTGACCCTCCTGTGCCATCCCCTCTTGTGCCATCCTGGTGACCCTCCTGTCCCATCCTGTGGTGACTCCTCCTGTGCCCATCCTGGGGCCTTGGTGACCTCTCCTAGCTGTCCCATCCTGGGGTGACCCTCCTGTGCTGTCCCATCCTGGGGGGTGACCCTCCTGTGCCATCCCATCCTGTCCCATCCCGTGGTGACCCTCCTGTGCCATCCCATCCCATCCTGGGGGGTGACCCTCCTGTGCCGTCCCCTCCTGGGGGGTGCCGTGGTGACCCTCCTGTGCCACCCCCTCCTGTCCTGGGGGGCCCATGGTGACCCTCCTGTGCCATCCCCTCCTGTGCCATCCTGGGGGGTGACCCTCCTGTCCCATCCCCTCCTGGGGGGTGGCCCTCCCATCCCATGGTGACCCTCCTGTGCTGTCCCATCCTGTCCCATCCTGGGGGGTGACCCTCCTGTGCCGTCCCATGGTGACCCTCCTGTGCCATCCCCTCCTGGGGGATGACCCTCCTGTCCCATCCCATCCCTTCCTGGGGGGTGGTGTGGTGACCCTTCTGTCCTATCCCATGGTGACCCTCTTGTCCCATCCCGTGGTGACCCTCCTGTCCCATCCCCTCCTGTCCCATCCCCTCCTGTCCTGGGGGGTGACCCTCCTGTGCCATCCCCTCCCATCCTGGGGGGCCTGTGGTGACCCTCCCATCCCATCCCATGGTGACCCTCCTGTGCCATCCCCTCCTGGGGAGGGGGGTGGTATGGTGGCCCTCCTGTCCCATCCTGTGCTGGGGGGTGCCGTGGTGACCCTCCTGTCCCATCCCATGGTGACCCTCCTGTCCCATCTCCTGTGGTCCCTGGTGGTCCCATGGTGCCCCTCCCATCCCCTCCCATCCCTGGTGGTCCCTTGGTGACCCTCCTGTCCCATCCCTGGTGGTCCCGTGGTGCCCCTCCCATCCCCTCCCATCCCTGGTGGTCCCGTGGTGCCCCTCCCATCCCCTGTGGTCCCTGGTGGTCCCGTGGTTCCCCTCCCATCCCATCCCTGGTGGTCCTGTGGTGCCCCTCCCATCCCCTCCCATCCCTGGTGGTCCCGTGGTGCCCTCCCATCCCATCCCATCCCATCCTCCCATCCCTGGTGGTCCTGTGGTGCTCCTCCCATCCCCTCCCATCCCCTCCCATCCCTGGTGGTCCCATGGTGCCCCTCCTGTCCCATCCTATCCCTGGTGGTCCCGTGGTGCCCCTCCCATCCCCTCCCATCCCATCCCATCCCTGGTGGTCCTGTGGTGCCCTCCCATCCTCCCATTGTGGTGGTCCCGTGGTGCCCCTCCCATCCCCTCCCATCCCCTCCCATCCCCTCCCATCCCTGGTGGTCCCGTGGTACCCCTCCCATCCCATCCCGGTGGTCCCGTGGTGCCCTCCCATCCCCTGTGGTCCCTGGTGGTCCCGTGGTGCCCTCCTGTCCCTGGTGGTCCTGTGGTGCCCCTCCTGTCCCCTGTGGTCCCTGGTGGTCCTGTGGTGCCCTCCCGTCCCTGGTGGTCCCGTGGTGCCCCTCCCCATCCCCTCCCATCCCTGGTGGTCCCGTGGTGCCCTCTCCCATCCCATCCCATCCCATCCTCCCATCCCTGGTGGTCCTGTGGTGCCCCTCCCATCCCCTCCCATCCCTGGTGGTCCCGTGGTGCCCTCTCCCATCCCATCCCATCCCATCCCCTCCCATCCCTGGTGGTCCCGTGATGCTCCCTCCTGTCCCTGGTGGTCCCGTGGTGACCCTCCCATCCCTCCCATCCCTGGTGGTCCCATGGTGCCCCTCCCATCCCTGGTGGTCCTGTGGTGCCCCTCCTGTCCCATCCCGATCCCATCGCTCCCATCCTCCCATCCCTGGTGGTCCCGTGGTGCCCCTCCCATCCCCTCCCATCCCTGGTGGTCCCTGTGGTGCCCCTCCCATCCCTGGTGGTCCCGTGGTGCCCCTCCCATCCCTGGTGGTCCCATGGTGCCCCTCCCATCCCATCCTGTCCCTGGTGGTCCCGTGGTGCCCCTCCTGTCCCTGGTGGTCCCGTGGTGCCCCTCCCATCCCCTGTGGTCCCCGGTGGTCCCATGGTGACCCTCCTCCCCCCCTGGGGGTGTGGCTGTTCCCGCAGGGTTCCTGCGCTCCCGTGAGCGGCAGTACCAGCGTTTCTACGGGCAGCTGCTCAGGACGCAGCTCTTCACCCAGTTCATCGAGGACTGCTCCTTCGCCAGCGACCGCGACCCCTGCCTCGAGTTCTTCGACACCTGCGTCGACAAGGTGTGTGCCCTGAGTCCCCTGTGTCCCCTGTGTCCCCTCTGTGTCCCCTCTGTGCCCCCTGTGTGTCCTCTCTGTGTCCTCTTCATGTCCCACCACCCCTGCCTCGAGTTCTTCGACACCTGCGTCGACAAGGTGTGTGCCCTGTGTGCCCTGCGTGTCCCCTGTGTCCCCTCTGTGTCCCCTCTGTGTCCCCTCTGTCCCCTCTGTGTCCCCTCTGTGCCCTGCATGTCCCCTCTGTGTCCCCTCTGTGTCCCCTCTGTGTCCCCTCTGTGTCCCCTGTGTCCCCTCTGTGTCCCCTCTGTGTCCCCTCCATGTCCCACCACCCCTGCCTCGAGTTCTTCGACACCTGAATCGACAAAATGTGTCCCACTGACGTCCTCTATGTCCCCAGTGACCCCCTGTGTCCCTCTACATCCCCCAGTGACCCCCGTGCTCCTCTAGGTACAGGACAAGGTGTGTCCCACTGCCCCCTCCATGTCCCCTCAATGCCCTCTCACATCCCCAGTGACCCCTGTGTCCCCCATGTCCCCCAGTGACCCCCTGTGCCCCCTCACATCCCCAGTGACCCCCTGTGCCCCCAGGTGCAGTGACAGGGTGTGTCCCACTGCCCCCCATGTCCCCAGTGACCTCTACGTCCTCAGTGACCCCCTGTGTCCCCTCTGTCATGTCCCCAGTGACCCCCTGTGCCCCCCTCACATCCCCAGTGACCCCTGTGCCCCCTCACATCCCCCAGTGACCCCCTGTGTCCCCTACTGTGCCCCCTCACGTGCCCCAGTGACTCTCACATCCCCAGTGACCCTCTGTGCCCCTCAGGTCCGCAGTGACCAGGTGTGCCCTCCATAGTCCCCTCGTGTCCCCAGTGACCCCCTGTGCCTCCCCGTCACATCCCCAGTGACCCCCTGTGCCCTCCAGGTGCAGGACAGGGTGTGTCCCACTGCCCCCCGTGTCCCCAGTGACCCCTCACGTCCCCAGTGACCCCCTGTGCCCCCCCACATCCCCAGTGACCCCTGTGCCCCCCATGACCCCAGTGACCCCCTGTGCCCCCCTAGGTGCAGTGACAGGTGTGCCCCTGCCCCCGCCCCATGACCCCCGTGACCCCTACGTCCCCAGTGACCCCTGTGCCCCCATGTGCCCCCAGTGTACCCCAGTGACCCTGTCACATCCCTAGTGACCTCTGTGCCCCTGATGTCCCCAGTGACCCCCTGTGCCCCCTCTGTCACATCCCCAGTGACCCCCTCATGCCCCATCCATGTGCCCCAGTGACCCCCTGTGCCCCCTGGCTCCACATCCCCAGTGACCCCTGTGCCCCCTCACATCCCCAGTGACTCCTCAGTGCCCTCCAGGTACAGGACAAGGTGTGTCCCACTGCCCCTCCGTGTCCCCAGTGACCCCCTGTCCCCCACATCCCCAGTGACCCCCTGTGCCCCCCTCACATCCCCAGTGACCCCCTGTGCCCTCCAGGTGCAGGACAGGGTGTGTCCCACTGCCCCCCTGTGTCCCCAATGACCCCCTGTGCCCCCGTCACATCCCCAGTGACCCCTGTGCCCCCCCATGTCCCCCAGTGACCCCCTGTGTCCCCCATGCTCACATCCCCAGTGACCCCCTGTGCCCCCATGTCGCATCCCCAGTGACCCCCTGTGCCCCCCCAGGTCCCCAGTGACCCGGTGTGCTCCCCCATGCCCCAGTGACCCCTGTGCCCCTCATCCCCAGTGACCCCCTGTGCCCTCTCATGTCCCCAGTGACCCCCTGTGCCCCCAGGTGCAGGACAGGTGTGTCCCCCTGCCCCCCCGTGTCCCCAATGACCCCCTCACATCCCCAGTGACCCCTGTGCCCCCCCATGTCCCCAGTGACCCCTGTGCCCCCCCATGTCCCCAGTGACCCCCTGTGCCCCCCAGGTGCAGGACAAGGTGTGTCCCCCTGCCCCCTCATGTCCCCCATGTGCCACCCCCATGTCCCCTGTGTCCCCAGTGACCCCTGTGTCCCCCCCCATGTCCCCAGTGACCCCCTGTGCCCCCCAGGTGCAGGCAGCCCTGGAGACCCGGAGGACACCCCCTGATGAGCTGACGACCCCCTCAGGTGAGCCCACGGTGTTCATCACCCCGAGCAGCCAGCGGGCCTGACAGGGCTGAGCCCCCTGCCCGCACAGTGTGAGACCCCCACCCACCTACAGACCCCCTGCCCGTACAGGTGAGACCCCACCCACCCACAGCCCCCTGCCAGCCCCCAGACCCACTCCACCCAACAGCCCTGCCCTGGTACAGGTGAGACCCCCACCCACCCACAGACCCCTACCAGCCCCCAAACCCACCCACAGACCCCTGCAGCCCCCAAACCCCCTCACCCCACAGCCCCTGCCAGCCCCCAAACTCCACCCACTGGCCCCCTGCACGGTACCCAGGTGAGACCCCCACTCCACCCACAGTGACCCCCTGCACGTGCCTACAGGTGAGACCCCTGACCCACCCACATGACCCCAGTAGCCCCAAACCCTGCACCCATGACCCACAGTGCCCCCTGGTCCCAGATCCCCAGACCCCCTCCACCCACAGACCCCTGCCCCGGTGCAGGTGAGACCCCACACCCAGCCACCCTGACAGCCCCTGCACAGCCCTGAGACACCCCCACCCAGCAGCCCCCTGCGCAGCCCGCAAACCCTCACCCACTAGCCCCCTGCACGGTACAGGTGAGACCCCCACCCACCCACCTACAGACCCCCTGCCCGGCCACAGGTGAGACCCCACCCACCCACAGACCCCTGCCAGCCCCCAAACCCACCCACCCACAGCCCCCTGCCAGCCCCCAAACTCACCCACCCACAGACCCCTGCCCGGTACAGGTGAGACCCCCACCCACCCACCTGCAGACCCCTGCACGGCACCCATGAGACCCCACCCACCCACAGACCCCTGCCAGCCCCAACCCTTCACCCAGCCCTCCTCACCCACAGCCCCCTGCCAGCCCCAAACCCACCCACCCACAGCCCCTGCCAGACCCAAACCCACCCACCTACAGACCCCTGCCCGGTACAGGTGAGACCCCCACCCATCCACCTACAGCCCCCTGCACGGTACAGGTGAGACCCCCACCCACCCACAGCCCCTGCCCGGTACAGGTGAGACCCCCACCCACCCACAGCCCCCTGCCCGGTACAGGTGAGACCCCCACCCACCCACCCACAGCCCCTGCACGGTACAGGTGAGACCCCACCCACCCACAGCCCCCTGCCAGCCCCCAAACCCACCCACCCACAGCCCCTGCCCGGCACAGGTGAGACCCCCACCCACCCACCTACAGACCCCTGCACAGTACAGGTGAGACCCCCACCCACCCACCCACAGCCCCTGCACGGTACAGGTGAGACCCCCACCCACCTACAGACCCCTGCCAGCCCCCAAACCCACCCACCCACAGCCCCCTGCCAGCCCCAAACCCCTCACCCACAGCCCCCTGCACGGTACAGGTGAGACCCCCACCCACCCACAGCCCCCTGCACGGTACAGGTGAGACCCCCACCCACCCACCCACAGCCCCCTGCCAGCCCCCAAACCCACCCACCCACAGCCCCCTGCACGGCACAGGTGAGACCCCCACCCACCCACAGCCCCTGCCAGCCCCCAAACCCACTCCACCCACAGCCCCTGCACGGTACAGGTGAGACCCCCACCCACCTACAGCCCCCTGCACGGTACAGGTGAGACCCCCACCCACCCACCTACAGCCCCTGCACGGTACAGGTGAGACCCCACCCACCCACAGCCCCTGCCAGCCCCAAACCCACCCACCCACAGCCCCCTGCCAGCCCCCAAACCCCTCACCCACAGCCCCCTGCACGGTACAGGTGAGACCCCACCCACCCACCCACAGCCCCTACCAGCCCCAAACCCCTCACCCAGCTGCCCCCCTCACACACAGCCCCCTACCAGCCCCAAACCCCCTCACCCACAGCCCCCCTGCCAGCCCCAAACCCCTCACCCGTGCCCCCTGCCCACCTGCCAGCCCCAAACCCCTCATCTGTAGCCCCCTACCAGACCCCAACCCCTCACCTGTGCCCCCTGCCAGCCCCAAACCCCTCACCTGTGCCCACCTGCCAGCCCCTAAACCCTCACCTGTGCCCTCCTGCCCACCTGCCAGCCCCAAACCCCTCACCCATGCCCACCTGCCAGCCTCCCAAACCCTCACCCACAGCCCTCCTGACAGCCCCCAACCCCCTCACCCGAGCCCCCTCACCTGTGCCCCCTCACCTCAGCCCCCTCCCTGTGCCCACTCACCTGTGCCCCCTCACCTGTGCCCCTCCCCCGTGCCCCCAGGTACGAGGGGTTCCCGGTGCCGGTCCGAGCTGCTGGAGCCCCCTGGGACCTCTGAGGCCCAGCTGTGCCAGGCCCGGAGCAGCGCCCCCAGCAGCCCCCGCCTCGCAGGACCAAGCAGGTGGGGGCACACCTGGGGGAGAGGGCACACCTGGGATGGGGGAGAGGGCACACCTGGGCAGGGGGGCACACCTGGGATGGGGGAGATGGGGGAGGGGCACAGCTGGGCAGGTGGGGGCACACCTGGGATGGGGAGAGGGCACACCTGGGATGGGGAGATGGTACACCTGGGCAGTTGGGGGCACACCTGGGATGGGGAATGGGGAGGGGCACACCTGGGCAGGGGGGCACGCCTGGGGTGGGGAATGGGGAGGGGCACACCTGGGCAGGGGGAGATGGCACACCTGGGCTGGGGAATGGGGAGCGGGCACACCTAGGCTGGGGAGAGGAGGCACACCTGGGCAGGGGGAATAGGGAGGGGCACACCTGGGCAGGTGGGGGCACACCTGGGATGGGGGAATGGGGAGGGGGCACACCTGGGATGGGGGAGATGGAGGAGATGGCACACCTGGGCTGGGGAATGGCAGAGGGGGCACACCTGGGCTGGGGAGATGGAGGAGATGGCACACCTGGGATGGGGGAGATGGCATACCTGGGCTGGGGGAGATGGAGGAGGAGCACACCTGGGCTGGGGGATGGGGAGAGGGCACACCTGGGATGGGGAATGGGGAGGGGCACAGCTGGGCAGGTGGGGGCACACCTGGAGTGGGGGGAGATGGCTCACCTGGGATGGGGAGATGGCACACCTGGGATGGGGGAGATGGCACACCTGGGCAGGTGGGGGCACACCTGGGGTGGGGGAATGGGCCAAGGGGCACACCTGGGCAGGTGGGGCACACCTGGGATGGGGAATGGGGGGGGGCACACCTGGGCAGGTGGGGGCACACCTGGGCTGGGGGACATGGAGGAGGGGGCACACCTGGGTGGGGAATGGGTAGGGGCACACCTGGGCAGGTGGGGGCACACCTGGGCTGGGGAGATGGCACACCTGGGCTGGGGAGATGGCTCACCTGGGCAGGGGGAGTGGGGAGATGGCACACCTGGGCTGGGGAGATGGCTCACCTGGGCAGGTGGGGGCACACCTGGGATGGGGAGATGGCACAGCTGGGCAAGGGGGAGATGGCACACCTGGGCAGGTGGAGGCACACCTGGGCTGGTGGGAGGTGGAGGAGGGGCACATCTGGGCAGGGGGAGATGGCACACCTGGGCAGGTGGGGGCACACCTGGGCTGGGGGATAGGGGAGATGGCTCACCTGGGCTGGGGGAGATGGCACACCTGGGCAGGTGGGGGCACACCTGGGCTGGGGGGATGGGGGAGATGGCACACCTGGGCTAGGGGAGATGGCTCACCTGGGCTGGGGGAGATGGCACACCTGGGCAGGGGGGAGTGGGGGAGATGGCACACCTGGGCTGGGGGAGATGGCTCACCTGGGCAGGGGGAGATGGAGGAGGGGGCACACCTGGGATGGGGGAGATGGCTCACCTGGGCAGGGGAGTGGGGAGATGGCACACCTGGGCTGGGGAGATGGCACACCTGGGCTGGAGGAGATGGCACACCTGGGCAGGGGGAGGAGGCACACCTGGGCTGGGGGAGATGGCTCACCTGGGCAGGGGGGACATGGAGGAGGGGGCACACCTGGACTGGGGGAGGGGGCACACCTGGGCAGGGGGCAATGGGGGAGGGGGCACACCTGGGCTGGTGTGTCTGAGGGAGATGGCTCACCTGGGCAGGTGTTCACCTGCCACAACAGCTGGACGGGTGTCCCCTTGAGCTGTGCCCCCTGTCCTGGCTGTCCCAGAGTCCCCTGACCCCTGTCCCTGTTCCCATGAGCTGTGCCCCCTGTCCAGGTGTCCCCTTGAGCTGTGCCCCCTGCCCTGGCTGTGCCAGAGCCCCCTGACCCTTGTCCCTGTCCCCATGAGCTGTACCCTTGTCCAGGTTCCCCCTGAGCTGTGCCCCTGTCCTGGCTGTCCCCTGGCTGTCTCAGAGCCCCCTGACCCTTGTCCCTGTCCCTGTGAGCCTGTCCAGGTGCCCCCTGCCCTGGATGTCCCCTGGGTGGCTCAGAGCCCCCTGACCCTGACCCTGACCCTGTCCCTGTCCCCCCATGCCCAGGAGCTGAAGGTGGCTCAGTGAGTGGCTCAGAGCCCCCTGTCCCTGTCCCTGTCCCCCATGCCCAGGAGCTGAAGGTGGCTCAGTGGGTGGCTCAGATCCCCCTGTCCCTGTCCCTGTCCCTGTCCCCTGGGTGGCTCAGAGCCCCCTGACCCTGTCCCTGTCCCCATGCCCAGGAGCTGAAGGTGGCTCAGAGCCCCCTGACCCTGTCCCCTGTCCCCATGCCCAGGAGCTGAAGGTGGCCCAGCGGGTGGCTCAGATCCCCCTGACCCTGTCCCTGTCCCTGTCCCCCATGCCCAGGAGCTGAAGGTGGCTCAGTGGGTGGCTCAGATCCCCCTGTCCCTGTCCCTGTCCCCCCATGCCCAGGAGCTGAAGGTGGCTCAGAGCCCCCTGTCCCTGTCCCTGTCCCTGACCCTGACCCTGTCCCTGTCCCCCATGCCCAGGAGCTGAAGGTGGCCCAGCGGGTGGCTCAGAAGTCGTCTCTGGTGCCCGAGCTGTGGGCACGGTGCCTGCTGGGGCACTGCTACGGGCTGTGGTTCCTGTACCCCCCCTGCCCAATCCCCCTGTCCCTGTCCCTGTCCCCCCATGCCCAGGAGCTGAAGGTGGCTCAGTGGGTGGCTCAGATCCCCCTGTCCCTGTCCCTGTCCCTGTCCCCCCATGCCCAGGAGCTGAAGGTGGCTCAGTGGGTGTCTCAGAGCCCCCTGACCCTGTCCCTGTCCCTGTCCCCCATGCCCAGGAGCTGAAGGTGGCCCAGCGGGTGGCTCAGAAGTCGTCTCTGGTGCCCGAGCTGTGGGCTCGGTGCCTGCTGGGGCACTGCTACGGGCTGTGGTTCCTGTACCGCCCTGCCCAATCCCCCTGACCCTGACCCTGTCCCTGTCCCCCCATGCCCAGGAGCTGAAGGTGGCTCAGTGGGTGGCTCAGAGCCCCCTGTCCCTGTCCCTGTCCCTGTCCCCCATGCCCAGGAGCTGAAGGTGGCTCAGTGAGTGGCTCAGATCCCCCTGTCCCTGTCCCTGTCCCCTGTGTCCCCCCATGCCCAGGAGCTGAAGGTGGCTCAGTGGATGGCTCAGATCCCCCTGTCCCTGTCCCTGTCGCCTGTGTCCCCCCATGTCCCCCATGCCCAGGAGCTGAAGGTGGCTCAGTGGGTGTCTCAGAGCCCCCTGTCCCCTCTATGTCCCCCCATGCCCAGGAGCTGAAGGTGGCTCAGATCCCCCTGTCCCTGTCCCCCCATGCCCAGGAGCTGAAGGTGGCTCAGTGGGTGGCTCAGATCCCCCTGACCCTGTCCCCTGTGTCCCCATGCCCAGGAGCTGAAGGTGGCCCAGCGGGTGGCTCAGAGCCCCCTGTCCCTGTCCCCTGACCCTTGTCCCTGTCCCTGTCCCCTGTGTCCCCCCATGCCCAGGAGCTGAAGGTGGCTCAGATCCCCCTGTCCCTGTCCCCCCATGCCCAGGAGCTGAAGGTGGCTCAGTGGGTGGCTCAGATCCCCCTGACCCTGTCCCTGTCCCCCCATGCCCAGGAGCTGAAGGTGGCTCAGTGGGTGGCTCAGATCCCCCTGTCCCCTGTCCCTGTCCCCCCATGCCCAGGAGCTGAAGGTGGCCCAGCGGGTGGCTCAGAGCCCCCTGACCCTGTCCCTGTCCCCTGTCCCTGTCCCTGTCCCCCATGCCCAGGAGCTGAAGGTGGCTCAGTGGGTGGCTCAGATCCCCCTGTCCCTGTCCCTGTCCCCCCATGCCCAGGAGCTGAAGGTGGCCCAGCGGGTGGCTCAGATCCCCCTGTCCCCTGTCCCTGTCCCCCCATGCCCAGGAGCTGAAGGTGGCTCAGTGGGTGGCTCAGATCCCCCTGTCCCTGACCCTGTCCCTGTCCCCATGCCCAGGAGCTGAAGGTGGCCCAGCGGGTGGCTCAGAAGTCGTCTCTGGTGCCCGAGCTGTGGGCTCGGTGCCTGCTGGGGCACTGCTACGGGCTGTGGTTCCTGTACCCCCCCTGCCCAATCCCCCTGTCCCTGTCCCTGTCCCCCATGCCCAGGAGCTGAAGGTGGCTCAGTGAGTGGCTCAGATCCCCCTGTCCCTGTCCCCTGTCCCCCATGCCCAGGAGCTGAAGGTGGCTCAGCAGGTGGCTCAGATCCCCCTGTCCCTGTCCCTGTCCCCCCATGCCCAGGAGCTGAAGGTGGCCCAGCGGGTGGCTCAGATCCCCCTGTCCCTGTCCCTGTCCCCCCATGCCCAGGAGCTGAAGGTGGCTCAGTGGGTGGCTCAGATCCCCCTGTCCCTGTCCCCCCATGCCCAGGAGCTGAAGGTGGCCCAGCGGGTGGCTCAGAAGTCGTCTCTGGTGCCCGAGCTGTGGGCACGGTGCCTGCTGGGGCACTGCTACGGGCTGTGGTTCCTGTACCTGCCCACGCTGGTGCGAGCGGCGCCCGCCAAGCTGGGGGCCCTGCAGCTCGCCTACGACGTCCTGCGCCAGATGGAGCAGCACAAGGTGGTGCTGCCCGACGAGGTGGGCCCCGAAATCCGCCCCGGGGATGGGGGATGGTGGGGATGGTGGGGAAGGGGCTGGTTTTGGGGGGTGTCTGTCTGAGGATGTGGCGCTCTGGGCTGGGGGTGGGTGGGGGCGAGGTAAGGATGGGGTACAGGGTGGGCTCAGGGGTTGGGGTCCCTGTGCTGACCTGTGTCCCCCACCCCAAGATGTGTTGATGGTGGGGAAGGGGCTGTCCCCTATTTATCCCCCTTCTTTTTAGGGGGGGTGTCTGTCTGAGGATGTGGCACTCTGGGCTGGGGGGTGAGGTGGGGATGGGGCATGAGGTGGTTGGGGGTTGATGGATCCTGTGGGGGTGCTGACCTGGTGCCCCCACCCCACCAGGTGTGTTGATGGTGGGGAAGGGCTGTCCCTACCTGCTTTTTTTGGGGGTGTGTCTGTCTGAGGATGTGCCACCCTGGGCTGGGGGATGAGGTGGGGATGGGGCACGGGGTGGTTTGGGGTTGATGGATGCTGTGGGGGTCCCTGTGCTGACCCCACCCCAAAGTGTGTTGATGGTGGGGAAGGGGCTGTCCCTCCTGTTTTTGGGAGGGGAATGTATCTGTCCTTCCGAGGATGTGGCGCTCTGGGCTGGGGGATGAGGTTGGGGTGGGACACAGGGTGGTTGGGGGTTGATGGATCCTCTGGGGGTCCCTGTGCTGACCTGTGCCCCCCACTCCAGGGTGCATTGACAGTGGGGAAGGGGCTGTCCCGCCTCTTTTTTTGGGGTGTGTCTGTCCAAGGATGTGACACTCTGGGTGCTCTGGGCTGGGGGACGAGGTGGGGACAGGGCACGGGGTGGGCTCAGGGAGGTTGGGGGTCCCTGTGCTGACCTGTGCCCCCCACCCCAGGGTGTGTTGATGGTGGGGAAGGGGCTGTCCCCCATTTATCCCCCTTCTTTTTAGGGGGGGTGTCTGTCTGAGGATGTGCTGCCCTGGGCTGGGGGATGAGGTGGGGATGGGACACGGGGTGGTTTGGGGTTGATGGATCCTGTGGGGGTGCTGACCCCTGTGCCCCCCACCCCACCCCAGGGTGTGTTGATGGTGGGGAAGGGGCTGTCCTGCCCTCTTTTTGGGGTGTGTCTGTCTGAGGATGTGGCATTCTGGGCTGGGGATGAGGTGGGGATGGGGCACGGGTGGTTGGGGTTTGGGGGTGCTGTGGGGGTCCCTGTGCTGACTCTGTGGCCCCACCCCAAGGTGTGTTGACAGTGGGGAAGGGGCTGTCCTGACTCTTTTTTTGGGGGGGAATGTGTCCATCTGAGGATGTGCCACTCTGGGCTGGGGGATGAGGTGGGGATGGGGCACGGGGTGGTTGGGGGTTGATGGATCCTGTGGGGGTCCCTGTGCTGACCTGTGTCCCCACCCCAAGGTGTGTTGATGGTGGGGAAGGGGCTCTCCCCCCCATTTATCCCCCTTCTTTTTAGGGGGGATGTTTGTCTGAGGATGTGCCACCCTGGGCTGGGGGGTGAGGTGGGGATGGGGCACGAGGTGGTTGCTGTTTGGGGGTGCTGTGGGGTGCTGATCTGTGTCCCCACCCCACCCCAAAGTGTGTTGATGGTGGGGAAGGGGCTGTCCCTCCTGTTCTTTTGGAGGGGTGTCTGTCCGAGGATGTGGCGCTCTGGGCTGGGGGATGAGGTTGGGGTGGGACACAGGGTGGTTGGGGTTGATGGATCCTGTGGGGTCCCTGTGCTGACCTGTGCCCCCACCCCAGGGTGCATTGACGGTGGGGAAGGGCTGTCCCTGACCTCTTTTTTTAGGGGTGTGTCTGTCTGAGGATGTGACACTCTGGGTGCTCTGGGCTGGGGGCGAGGTAAGGATGGGACACAGGCGTTGGCTTGGGGTGCTGTGGGGTCCCTGTGCTGACCTGTGTGCCCCCCACCCCAGGGTGTGTTGACGGTGGGGAAGGGCTCTCCCCATTTATCCCCCTTCTTTTTAGGGGGTGTCTGTCTGAGGATGTGGCACTCTGGGCTGGGGGTGAGGTTGGGATGGGACACGAGGTGGTTGGGGTTGATGGATCCTGTGGGGTCCTGTGCTGACCTTGTGCCCCCACCCCAGGTGTGTTGACGGTGGGGAAGGGGCTGTCCCATTTGTCCTGTCTTTTTGGGGGTGTCTGTCTGAGGATGTGGCGCTCTGGGCTGGGGATGAGGTGGGGACAGGACACGGGGGTGGGCTTCAGGTTGTGGGGTCCTGTGCTTGACCTGTGCCCCCCACCCCAAGGTGTGTTGATGGTGGGGAAGGGGCTGTCCCCCCCATTTATCCCCCTTCTTTTTAGGGGGGGTGTCTGTCTGAGGATGTGGCACTCTGGGCTGGGGGATGAGGTTGGGGTGGGACACAGGCTGGTTGGGGTTTGGGGGTCCCTGTGGTGACCTGTGCCCCCCTCCCCCAGGTGTGTTACCGCATCCTGATGCAGCTCTGTGGCCAGTACAGGGTATTTGGGGTTTGGGGGTCCCTTTATTGACCCTTTTTCCCCCTCCCCCAGGTCTGTTACCGCATCCTGATGCAGCTGTGTGGCCAGTACAGGGTATTTAGGGTTTGGGGGTCCCTTTATTGACCCTTTTTCCCCCCTCCCCCAGGTGTGTTACCGCATCCTGATGCAGCTGTGTGGTCAATACGGGGTGTTTGGGATTTGGGGGGTGCTGTGGGGGTTTGGGGGTCCCTTTATTGACCCCATTTCCCCCCTATCCAGGTCTGTTACCGCATCCTGATGCAGCTGTGTGGCCAGTACTGGGTATTTAGGGTTTGGGGGTCCCTTTATTGACCCTTTTTCCCCCCTCCCCCAGGTCTGTTACCGCATCCTGATGCAGCTGTGTGGTCCATACAGGGTATTTAGGGTTTGGGGGTCCCTTTACTGACCCCATTTCCCACTCCCCCAGGTCTGTTACCGCATCCTGATGCAGCTGTGTGGCCAGTACAGGGTGTTTGGGGTTTGGGGGTCCCTTTACTGACCCTTTTTCCCCCTCCCCAAGGTGTGTTACCGCATCCTGATGCAGCTGTGTGGTCAATACAGGGTATTTAGGGTTTGGGGGTCCCTTTACTGACCCTTTTTCCCCCCTATCCAGGTGTGTTACCGCATCCTGATGCAGCTGTGTGGTCAGTACAGGGTATTTAGGGTTTGGGGGTCCCTTTACTGACCCTTTTTCCCCCTCCCCAAGGTGTGTTACCGCATCCTGATGCAGCTGTGTGGTCAGTACAGGGTATTTAGGGTTTGGGGGTCCCTTTATTGACCCCATTTCCCCCCCATCCAGGTCTGTTACCACATCCTGATGCAGCTGTGTGGTCCATACAGGGTATTTGGGGTTTGGGGGTCCCTTTATTGACCCCATTTCCCCCCCATCCAGGTGTGTTACCGCATCCTGATGCAGCTGTGTGGTCAATAGGGGGTATTTAGGGTTTGGGGGTCCCTTTATTGACCCATTTCCCCCTCCCCAGGTCTGTTACCGCATCCTGATGCAGCTGTGTGGCCAGTACAGGGTATTTAGGGTTTGGGGGTCCCTTTACTGACCCATTTCCCCCCCATCCAGGTCTGTTACCGCATCCTGATGCAGCTGTGTGGCCAGTACGGCGTGTTTAGGGTTTGGGGGGTGCTGTGGGGGTTTGGGGGTCCCTTTATTGACCCCCTTTTCCCCCTCCCCAAGGTGTGTTACCGCATCCTGATGCAGCTGTGTGGCCAGTACAGGGTGTTTGGGGTTTAGGGGGTGCTGTGGGGGTTTGGGGGTCCCTTTTCTGACCCCATTTCCCCCCCATCCAGGTCTGTTACCGCATCCTGATGCAGCTGTGTGGTCAGTACAGGGTGTTTAGGGTTTGGGGGTCCCTTTATTGACCCCATTTCCCCCTCCCCAAGGTGTGTTACCGCATCCTGATGCAGCTGTGTGGTCAATAGAGGGTATTTAGGGTTTGGGGGTCCCTTTACTGACCCATTTTCCCCCCTCCCCAAGGTGTGTTACCGCATCCTGATGCAGCTGTGTGGCCAGTACAGGGTATTTGGGGTTTGGGGGTCCCTTTACTGACCCCATTTCCCCCTCCCCAAGGTCTGTTACCGCATCCTGATGCAGCTGTGTGGCCAGTACGGCGTGTTTAGGGTTTGGGGATCCCTTTATTGACCCTTTTTCCCCCCCATCCAGGTCTGTTACCGCATCCTGATGCAGCTGTGTGGCCAGTACAGGGTGTTTAGGGTTTGGGGGTCCCTTTATTGACCCCTTTTTCCCCCCCATCCAGGTGTGTTATCGCATCCTGATGCAGCTGTGTGGCCAGTACGGCGTGTTTAGGGTTTGGGGGGTGCTGTGGGGGTTTGGGGGTCCCTTTACTGACCCCATTTCCCCCCCCCCCAGGTCTGTTACCGCATCCTGATGCAGCTGTGTGGCCAGTACGGGGTGTTTGGGATTTAGGGGGTGCCGTGGGGGTTTGGGGGTCCCTTTACTGACCCTTTTTCCCCCCCCCAGGTCTGTTACCGCATCCTGATGCAGCTGTGTGGCCAGTACAGGGTATTTGGGGTTTGGGGGTCCTTTTACTGACCCCTTTTCCCCCCTCCCCAAGGTCTGTTACCGCATCCTGATGCAGCTGTGTGGTCAGTACAGGGTGTTTAGGGTTTGGGGGTCCCTTTATTGACCCCATTTCCCCCTCCCCCAGGTGTGTTACCGCATCCTGATGCAGCTGTGTGGCCAGTACGAGGTGTTTAGGGATTTAGGGGGTGCTGTGGGGGTTTGGGGGTCCCTTTATTGACCCCATTTCCCCCCTATCCAGGTGTGTTACCGCATCCTGATGCAGCTGTGTGGCCAGTACGGGGGTGGTTGGGGGTTGATGGATCCTGTGGGGGTTTGGGGGTCCCTTTCTTGACCCCATTTCCCCCTCCACCCAGGTGTGTTACCGCATCCTGATGCAGCTCTGTGGCCAGTACAGGGTATTTAGGGTTTGGGGGTCCCTTTACTGACCCTTTTTCCCCCCTATCCAGGTGTGTTACCGCATCCTGATGCAGCTGTGTGGCCAGTACAGGGTGTTTGGGGTTTAGGGGATGCTGTGGGGGTTTGGGGGTCCCTTTACTGACCCCATTTCCCCCTTCCCCAAGGTCTGTTACCGCATCCTGATGCAGCTGTGTGGTCAATAGGGGGTGTTTAGGGTTTGGGGGTCCCTTTACTGACCCCATTTCCCCCTCCCCAAGGTGTGTTACCGCATCCTGATGCAGCTGTGTGGCCAGTACTGGGTATTTAGGGTTTGGGGGTCCCTTTACTGACCCCATTTCCCCCTCCCCAAGGTGTGTTACCGCATCCTGATGCAGCTGTGTGGCCAGTACGGCGAGCCCGTGCTGTCCGTGCGGGTGCTGCTGGAGATGAAACGCGCCGGCATCGTCCCCAACACCGTCACCTACGGCTACTACAACAAGGTCAGCCCCTCGGGGGGGGGTGTTTGGGGGTCGCAGGGGTGCCCCCCAGCCCTGTGTGACCCCCCTGACCCCCTCCCCAGGCGGTGCTGGAGAGCAAGTGGCCGGCAGGGACGCAGGGGGGGCGGCTGCGCTGGGCCAAGCTGCGGAACGTGGTGCTGGGGGCGGCCCAGTTCAGGCAGCCCCTGCGGCAGCGCCAGCGCAGGAGCAGCCAGGGGACACCCCTGGTAAGGGGGGCACGGGGGAAGGGCTTTGGGGGGCTTGGGGATACCCCCAGGGTATGTCCTGGCAAGGGGCAGGACCCCGAGTAGGGCAGGAGTGAGGGGGGGAGCTCGGGGACACCCCCAGGGCACCTCCTGGTAAGGGGCAGGACCCCCGAGTAGGGGGGATTGAAGTGAGGGTTCATCTCAGTGACACCCCCAGGGCACGTCCTGGCAGGGGGCAGGACCCCCGAGTAGGGGATTGAAGAGGGGGGGAGCTCGGGGACACCCCCAGGGCACCTCCTGGTAAGGGGCAGGATCCCCGAGTAGGGGGTGAAATCACCTCAGTGACACCCCCTTGGTACCCCCTGGCAGGGGGCAGGACCCCTGAATAGGGTGGGATTGGAGTGGGGGATCATCTCAGTGACACCCCCAGGGCACCTCCTGGCAGGGGGCAGGACCCCCGAGTAGGGCAGGAGTGAGGGGGGGGAGCTCAGGGACACCCCCAGGGCACCTCCTGGCAGGGGGCAGGACCTCCGAGTAGGGCAGGAGTGGTGAGGGGGGCTTGGGGACACCCCCAGGGCACCTCCTGACAGGGGGCAGGACCCCCGAGTAGGGCAGGAGTGAGGGGGGGGAGCTCAGGGACACCCCCAGGGTATGTGGAGCAGCCACGGGGACACCCCCGGTAAGGGGGAGATGTGGGAAGGGTGGGGGGGAGCTCAGGGACACCCCCAGGGCACCTCGTGGAAGGGGGCAGGACCCCCCCGAGTAGGGCAGGAGTGAGGGGGGGGGAGCTCGGGGACACCCCCAGGGCATGTCCTGGCAGGGGGCAGGACCCCCGAGTAGGGGGGATTGAGTGGGGATCATCTCAGTGACACCCCCAGGGCACCTCCTGGCAGGGGGCAGGACCCCCGAGTAGGGCAGGAGTGAGGGGGGGGATCATCTCAATGACACCCCATTGGCAGGGGCTGAGATCCCCTAAATGAGGGGATTGAGGGGGGAGATCATCTCAATGACACCCCCAGGGCATCTCCTGGCAGGGGGCAGGACCCCTGAGTAGGGTGGGAGTGAGGAGGGGGTCATTGTCACCTGAGTGACACCCCCTTGGTTCCCCCTGGCAGGGGGCAGGACCCCCGAGTAGGGCAGGAGTGAGGGGGGGGAGCTCGGGGACACCCCCAGGGCACCTCCTGGCAGGGGGCAGGATCCCCGAGTAGGGGGGGTGAAATCACCTCAGTGACACCCCCTTGGTACCCCCTGGCAGGGGGCAGGACCCCTGAATAGAGTGGGAGTGGAGGGGGGGATCATCTCAGTGACACCCCCAGGGTATGTCCTGGCAGGGGGCAGGACCCCTGAGTAGGGCAGGAGTGAGGGGGGAGATCAGGGACACCCCCAGGGTATGTGGAGCAGCCACGGGGACACCCCCGGTAAGGGGGGCACGGGGGCAGGGCTTTGGGGGGCTTGGGGATACCCCCAGGGTATGTCCTGGTAGGGGCTGAGACCCCCTGAATAGGGGGGATTGAAGTGGGGGATCATCTCAGTGACACCCCCAGGGCACCTCCTGGCAGGGGGCAGGACCCCCGAGTAGGGGGGGTGAAATCATCTCAGTGACACCCCCAGGGCACCTCCTGGCAGGGGGCAGGACCCCCGAGTAGGGGGGGTGAAATCATCTCAGTGACACCCCAGGGCACCTCCTGGCAAGGGCTGAACCCCCATAAGAGGGGTTTTGGGGTGATGTCCCCCCGACCCCCCTTGTGTCCCCCAGGTGACCGAGGCCCCCCCTCCATAGGAGGGGTTTTTGGGTGATGTCCCCCTGACCCCCCTTTGTGTCCCCCCAGGTGACTGAGCCCCCATTCCATAGGAGGGGTTTTTGGGGTGATGTCCCCCTGACCCCCCACTTTGTGTCCCCCAAGTGACGTCCCCCCGCCCCCATAGGAGTGGTTTTGGGGTGATGTCCCCCTGACCCCCTTTGTGTCCCCCAGGTGATCGAGCCCCCGCCCCCATAGCAGGGGTTTTTGGGGTGATGTCCCCCTGACCCCCCTTGTGTCCCCCCAGGTGACGTCCCCCCGCCCCCACTGTTTATAGGGGTTTTTGGGGTGATGTCCCCCTGACCCCCCTTTGTGTCCCCCCAGGTGACCGAGCCCCCCCACTGTTTATAGGGGTTTGGGGTGATGTCCCCCTGACCCCCCTTTGTGTCCCCCAGGTGACCAAGCCCCCATTCCATAGGAGGGGTTTTTAGGGTGATGTCCCCCTGACCCCCTTTGTGTCCCCCAGGTGACCGAGCCCCCATTCCATAGGAGGGGTTTTTGGGGTGATGTCCCCCTGACCCCCTTTGTGTCCCCCAGGTGACATTCTCCATAGTAGGGTTTTTGGGGTGATGTCCCCTGACCCCCCTTTGTGTCCCCCAGGTGACTGAGCCCCCCTCCATAGGAGGGGTTGTCACCCTGACCCCCTTTGTGTCCCCCAAGTGACGTCCCCCCGCCCCCATAGGAGGGGTTTTTGGGGTGATGTCCCCCTGACCCCCTTTGTGTCCCCCAGGTGACGTCCCCCACTGTTTATAGGGGTTTTTGGGGTGATGTCCCCCCTCTGACCCCTCCTTTGTGTCCCCCCAGGTGACGTCCCCCACTGTTTATAGGGGTTTTGGGGTGATGTCCCCCTGACCCTCCCCCTTTGTGTCCCCCCAGGTGACGTCCCCCGCTTTAGGAGGGTTTTTGGGGTGATGTCCCCCTTTGACCCCCCTTTGTGTCCCCCAGGTGACCGAGCCCCCACTGTTTATAGGGGTTTTTGGGGTGATGCCCCCTGACCCCCACTTTGTGTCCCCCCAGGTGACCGAGCCCCCATTCCATAGTAGGGGTTTTTGGGGTGATGTCCCCCTCTGACCCCTTTGTGTCCCCCAGGTGATCAAGCCCCCATTCCATAGGAGGGTTGTCACCCCCTGACCCCTTTGTGTCCCCCAGGTGACCGAGCCCCCCTTCCATAGGAGGGTTTTGGGGTGATGTCCCCCTGACCCCCTTTGTGTCCCCCAGGTGACCGAGCCCCCACTGTTTATAGGGGTTTTGGGGTGATGTCCCCCTGACCCCCCTTTGTGTCCCCCAGGTGACCGAACCCCGCCTCCATAGGAGGGTTGTCACCCCTGACTCCCCTTTGTGTCCCCCTGACCCCCCTTTGTGTCCCCCCCAGGTGACCGAGCCCCCTCCATAGAAGGGGTTTTTGGGGTGATGTCCCCTGACCCCCCCACTTTGTGTCCCCCAGGTGACCAAGCCCCCATTCCATAGTAGGGTTTTTGGGGTGATGTCCCCCTCTGACCCCCCTCCTTTGTGTCCCCCAGGTGACCGAGCCCCCACCCCCATAGTAGGGTTTTTGGGGTGATGTCCCCCTGACCCCACTTTGTGTCCCCTCAGGTGACGTCCCCCGCCCCCATAGGAGGGGTTTTTGGGTGATGTCCCCCTGACCCCCCTTTGTGTGCCCCCAGGTGACCGAGCCCCCCTCCATAGGAGGGGTTGTCACCCCTGACCCCCTTTGTGTCCCCCCCAGGTGACCGAGCCCCCCACTGTAGGAGGGGTTTTTAGGGTGATGTCCCCCTGACCTCCTTTGTGTCCCCCCAGGTGACCAGAGCCCCCCGCCCCCATGGAAGGGGTTTTGGGGTGATGTCACCCCCTGACCCCCTTTGTGTCCCCCAAGGTGACATTCTCCATAGGAGGGGTTTTTGGGGTGATGTCCCCTTTGACCCCCTTGTGTCCCCAGGTGACCAAGTCCCCCTCCATAGGAGGGTTTTGAGGTGATGTCCCCCAGGTGACCGAGCCCCCTCCATAGGAGGGTTGTCACCCCCTGACCCCCCTTTGTGTCCCCCAGGTGACCGAGCCCCCACACTAGGAGGGGTTTTTAGGTGATGTCCCTGACCCCCCTTTGTGTCCCCCAGGTGACGTGTCCCCGCCCCCATAGTAGGGTTTTTGGGGTGATGTCTCCCTCTGACCCCCCTTTGTGTCCCCCAGGTGACGTCTCCCCGCCCCCCGCGCCCCCTGCAGCGCCAGACCACCTGGGCGGGCGCAGCCTGCGGGACCCCCGCCCCCGGCTGGTGAAGAGCGGCAGCCTCAGCTTCCCCGCAGCGAGGGGGCCCGGGGAGCCCCCTGCTCCCTGCGACCCCCGCACTCACCCCCAGCGGCCGCGGGCGCCCCGGCTCTGCCGATGGGAGCCTGTCCGACGTCAGCTTCCACACGGACGACAGCGACCCCGGGGATGAGGGGGTCCCAGGGTCTTGGGGTCTCAGGGGTCCCGGGGTCCCAGGGCGGGGGCACCCCTCGGCAGGCTTGGCGGCCAAGCTGCAGCAGTTGCTGTCGCCGGGCAAGCGGGGGGACCCCCAGGACCACCGAGCCCCCGGGAGCGCCGGGGTCGGAGCCGCGGACCCCGGGACCACTGGGACCCCAGGACCCCCGCGCCGCAGCCCCGCACAGCCCCCGGCTGCGCCCACGGGAGCGCCCCCAGTCCACGGCGTCAGAGGTACCGACCGTGGGGATGGGGGTGGGGTGGTGGGCTGGCCCTTTGTGCCCTCCCCCTGGCCGTGTGTCCCCTCCCTCTGTCCCTTTGTCCCCTCCCCCTATCCCTGTGTCCCCTCCCTCTATCCCTCTGTCCCCTCCTCTGTCCCTCTGTCCCCTCCCTCTGTCCCTCTGTCCCTCCCTGTCCCTCTGTCCCCTCTCTCTGTCCCTCTGTCCCCCTGTCCCTCTGTCCCCCTGTCCCTCTGTCCCTCCCCTGTCCCTGTGTCCCCTCCCCTGTCCCTCTGTCCCTCTGTCCCTCCCTCTATTCCCTCCCCTGTCCCTCTGTCCCCTCTCTCTGTCCCTCCCCCTGTCCCTCCCCTGTCCCTCTGTCCCCTCCCTCTGTCCCTCCCCTGTCCCTCTGTCCCCTCTCTCTGTCCCCTCCTTGTCCCTCTGTCCCATCCCCCCGTCCCTCTGTCCCTCCTGTCCCCTCTGTCCTCTGTCCCTCTGTCCCTCCCTGTCCCTCTGTCCCTCCCTGTCCCTCTGTCCCTCCCCTGTCCCTCTGTCCCCTCCCTGTCCCCCTGTCCCTCTGTCCCTCCTTCTGTCCCTCCCCGTCCCTCTGTCCCTCCTCTGTCCCTCTGTCCCTCCCTGTCCCCCTGTCCCTCCCCTGACCTGTCCTCCCCCTCCCCTGTCCCTCTGTCCCTCTCTCTGTCCCTCTGTCCTCCCTGTCCTCTGTCCTCTCCTCCCCTGTCCCCTCCTGTCCCCTCCCCTGTCCCCTCCCCTGACCGTGTCCCCCCTCCCCTGTCCCCCTGTCCCTCTGTCCCCTCTCTCTGTCCTCCCCTGTCCCTCTGTCCCTCCCCCTGTCCCTCTGTCCCTCCCCTGTCCCTCCCCCTCCCCTGTCCCCTCCCCTGACCGTGTCCCCCTCCCCTGTCCCCTGTCCCTCTGTCCCCTCCCTCTGTCCCTCCCCTCTCCCCTGTCCCCTCCCCTGACCGTGTCCCCCCCGTGTCCAGAGCTCCGTGTCCAGTGACCTGGACCTGTCGGACGCCTCGGGGAGCGCCGGCCCCCAGAGCCAGCGAGAGCCTTCAGGAGGGGGCGAGCGGAACGAGAGCCCCAGTCCTGGAGGTGAGGATGGGGAGGGGGGCAGAGGGAAGGGTTTGGGGGGTTGGGAGTGAACCGGGGATTTGGGGTCGTGAGCTGAGATTTGGGGGGTCAGAGCTGAGATTTGTGGGGTCAGAGCTGAGATTTGGGGGTCAGAGCTGAGGGTTTGGGGGTAAGGGCTGAGATTTGGGGTCAGAGCTGAGATTTGGGGGTCAGAGCTGAAGGGTTTGGGGGCAAACCAGGGGGATTTGGGGGTTCAGAGCTGAGGGATTTGGGGGTAGGGCTGAGATTTGGGGGTCAGAGCTGAGATTTGGAGGGTCAGAGCTGAGATTTGGGGGTCAGAGCTGAGAGGTTTGGGGGGCAAACCGAGGGGATTTGGGGTTCAGAGCTGAGGGATTTGGGGGTGAACCGGGGGATTTGGGGGTCAGAGCTGAGATTTGAGGGATCAGAGCTGAGATTTGGGGGTCAGAGCTGAGGGGTTTGGGGGTCAGAAATGAGATTTGGGGGTCAGGGCTGAGATTTGGGGGGGTCAGAAATGAGATTTGGGGGGTCAGAACTGAGGGGTTTGGGGAGGTCAGAACTGAGATTTGGGGGGGTCAGAGCTTGGGGATTTGGGGGGGTCACAGCTCAGATTTAGGGGTTCACAGCTCAGTTTTGGGGGTTCACAGCTCAGATTTGGGGGTTCATAGCTCAGTTTTGGGGGTTCACAGCCCAGATTTGGGGTTTCATAGCTCAGTTTTGGGGGTTCATAGCTCAGTTTTAGGGGTTCACAGCTCAGATTTGGGGGTTCATAGCTCAGTTTTAGGGGTTCATAGCTCAGATTTGGGGGTTCACAGCTCAGATTTGGGGGGTTCATAGCTCAGATTTGGGGGTTCATAGCTCAGTTTTGGGGGTCCCAGGTGCTGCTGTCGAGCTGCTCTCGCTGCCCGGGCTGTTCCACGCTGGTGTTTGATGAGGAGCTCAGGGATTTGGGGGGGTCACAGCTCAGATTTGGGGGTTCACAGCTCAGTTTTGGGGGTTCACAGCCCAGTTTTGGGGGTCCCAGGTGCTGCTGTCGAGCTGCTCTCGCTGCCCGGGCTGTTCCACGCTGGTTTTTGACGAGGAGCTCAGGGATTTGGGGGGTCACAGCTCAGTTTTGGGGGTTCACAGCTCAGTTTTGGGGGTCCCAGGTGCTGCTGTCGAGCTGCTCTCGCTGCCCTGGCTGTTCCACGCTGGTTTTTGATGAGGAGCTCAGGGATTTGGGGGTTCATAGCTCAGATTTGGGGGGTTCAGAGCTCAGATTTGGGGGGTTCATAGCTCAGATTTGGGGATTCAGAGCTCAGTTTTGGGGGCTCATAGCTCAGTTTTGGGGGTCCCAGGGTTACAATCCCCTCCCCCAGGTGCTGCTGTCGAGCTGCTCTCGCTGCCCTGGCTGTTCCACGCTGGTTTTTGATGAGGAGCTCAGGGATTTGGGGGGGTCACAGCTCAGTTTTGGGGGTTCATAGCCCAGTTTTGGGGGTTCATAGCTCAGTTTTAGGGGGTCACAGCTCAGATTTGGGGGTCCCAGGTGCTGCTGTCGAGCTGCTCTGCTGCCCGGGCTGTTCCACGCTGGTTTTTGATGAGGAGCTCAGGGATTTGGGGGGGTCACAGCTCAGTTTTGGGGGTTTATAGCTCAGTTTTAGGGGTTCACAGCTCAGTTTTGGGGTCCCAGGTGCTGCTGTCGAGCTGCTCTCGCTGCCCTGGCTGTTCCACGCTGGTTTTTGATGAGGAGCTCAGGGATTTGGGGGTTCACAGCTCAGATTTGGGGGTTCATAGCTCAGTTTTGGGGGTTCACAGCTCAGTTTTGGGGGTCCCAGGTTACAATCCCTCCCCAGGTGCTGCTGTCGAGGCTGCTCTCGCTGCCCGGGCTGTTCCACGCTGGTTTTTGATGAGGAGCTCAGGGATTTGGGGGTCACAGCTCAGTTTTGGGGGTTCACAGCTCAGTTTTGGGGGTTCATAGCTCAGTTTTGGGGGTCCCAGGGTTACAATCTCCCCCAGGTGCTACTGTCGAGCTGCTCTCGCTGCCCGGGCTGTTCCACGCTGGTGTTTGATGAGGAGCTCAGGGATTTGGGGGGGTCACAACTCAGTTTTAGGGGTTCACAGCCCAGATTTGGGGGTTCACAGCTCCATTTTGGGGGTTCACAGCTCAGTTTTGGGGTTCACAGCTCAGATTTGGGGGTTCATAACTCAGTTTTGGGGGTTCATAGCCCAGATTTGGGGGGTCACAGCTCAGTTTTGGGGGTTCACAGCTCAGATTTGGGGGGTCCCAGGTGCTGCTGTCGAGCTGCTCTCGCTGCCCTGGCTGTTCCACGCTGGTGTTTGATGAGGAGCTCAGGGATTTGGGGGTTCATAGCTCAGATTTGGGGGTTCACAGCTCAGTTTTGGGGGTTCATACGCTCAGATTTGGGGTTCATAGCTCAGTTTTGAGGGTTCATAGCTGAGGATTTAGGGGTCACAGCTCTGATTTGGGGGTTCACAGCCCAGTTTTGGGGGGTCCCAGGTGCTGCTGTCGAGCTGCTCTCGCTGCCCTGGCTGTTCCACGCTGGTGTTTGACGAGGAGCTCATGGCTGGCTGGACCTCGGACGACTCCAACCTCAACACGAGCTGCCCCTTCTGCTCCCGCTCCTTCGTGCCCTTCCTGAGCATCGAGATCCGCGACCTCCGCCGGCCCCCCAGGTGGGAGAACCCCCAGAACCCCTGGGGACCCCCCAGGACACCCCCAGGACCCCCACACCGTGTCCTCCCTGCTGGGCCTTCCTGGGTCTTGTGCTCTGAGGGCACCCCAATGTCCCACAGACCCTCCACAGTGACTCCCTCATCCTTTGGGGCACCCCAATGTCCCACAGACCTCCCATCCTTTGGGGGCACCCTAATGTCCCACAGACCCCCAAAGTGTTCCCCATCATTTGGGGCACCCCATATCCCACAGACCCCCTCAGTGTCTCACACCCTCTGGGGTGCTCTCAATGTCTCCCCACCCTCTGGGGGCACCCCAATGTCCCACAGACCCTCCCAAAGTGTTCCCCCATCCTCTGGGGCACCCCAATGTCCCACAGACCCCCAGTGTCTCCCCACCCTCAGGGGCACCCCAATGTCTCACAGCCCCCAGTGTCCCACCCTCTCCGGCACAAATGTCTCCCCATTCTCTGGGGACACCCCAATATCCCACAGCCCCCCCATTCTCTGAGGGCACCCCAATATCCCACAGACCCCTCCATCCTCTGGGGCACCCCAATATCCTACAGACCCCCTCAATGTCCCCACCCTCTGGGGATACCCCAATGTCCCACAGACCCCCCAAAAGTGTTCCCCCATCCTCTGGGGCACCCCAATGTCCCACAGACCCCCCATTCTCTGGGGGCACCCCAATGTCCCACAGACCCCCCAAGTGTTCCCCCATCCTTTGGGGCACCCCAATGTCCCACAGACTCCCCCATCCTCTGGGGCACCCCAATGTCCCACAGACCCCCCCCCATCCTCTGGGGGCACCCCAATGTCCCACAGACCCCCCAATGTCCCCCCATCCTTTGGGGCACCCCAATGTCCCACAGACTCCCTCAATGTCCCCCATCCTTTGGGGGCACCCCAATGTCCCACAGACCCCCTCAGTGTCCCCCCCATCCTCTGGGGGTGCCCCAATGTCCCACAGACCCCCAGTGTCCCACCCCTGTGGGGCACCCCAATGTTCCTCCACCCTCTGGGGCACCCCAATATCCCACAGCCCCCCATCCTCTGGGGCACCCCAATGTCCCCATTCCTGACCCCCTCCCATCTCCTGCAGCCCCCAATTCCTGACCCCCTCCTTTCTCCTGCAGCCCCCCAGTTCCCCCCCAATTCCTGACCCCCCTCCTTTCTCCTGCAGCCCCCCGGTGCCCCCCCATTCCTGACCCCCATTCCTGACCCCCTCCTTTCTCCTGCAGCCCCCATTTCTGACCCCCCCAATTCCTGACCTCCCTCCTTTTTCCTGCAGCCCCCCAATCCCTGACCCCCTCGCTTCTCCTGCAGCCCCCTGTGCCCCCCATCCTGACCCCCCATCCTGACCTCCCATTCCTGACCCCCCACTCCTGACCCCCAATTCCTGACCCCCCATCCCTGACCTCCTCCCTTTTCCTGCAGCCCCCGGTCCCCCAATTCCTGACCCCCCTCCTTTCTCCTGCAGCCCCCTGGTGCCCCCTGCTGCCCCCGACCTCTCCTGACCCCTCCTTTCTCCTGCAGCCCCTGGTGCCCCCAATTCCTGACCTCCTGCCCCCAGTGCCCCCATTCCTGACCCCCTCCTTTCTCCTGCAGCCCCCGGTGCCCCCCAGTGCTCCCCCAATTCTGACCCCCTCCTTTTCCTGCAGCCCCCAATTCCTGACCCCCTCCTGTCTCCTGCAGCCCCAGGCCTCCCGGTGCCCCCCAATTCCTGACCCCTCCCATCTCCTGCAGCCCCCGGGCCCCCGGTGCCCCCATTCCTGACCCCCCCATTCCTGACCCCCCTCCCATCTCCTGCAGGCCCCCAGTCCTGACCCCCCATTCCTGACCCCTCCCATTCCTGACCCCCCAATTCCTGACCCCCCAATTCCTGACCCCCCTCCTTTCTCCTGCAGCCCCCTGGGCCCCTCAGTGCCCCCCATTCCTGACCCCCTCCATTCCTGCAGCCCCAGTTCCCCATTCCTGACCCCCATTCCTGACCCCCCAATTCCTGACCCCCTCCTTTCTCCTGCAGCCCCCTGTGCCTCCCCCAATTCCTGACCCCCTCCTTTCTCCTGCAGCCCCCCCAATTCCTGACCCTCTCCTTTCTCCTGCAGCCCCCGGTGCCCCCAGTGCCCCCCCAATTCCTGACCCCCAATTCCTGACCCCCTCCTTTCTCCTGCAGCCCCCAGGCCCCCAGTTCCCCCATTCCTGACCCCCCTCCTTTCTCCTGCAGCCCCCAATTCCTGACCCCCCTCGTTCTCCTGCAGCCCCCCAATTGACCCCCATTGTGACCCCCCTCATTCCTGACCCCCCCTCCCCTTTCTCCTGCAGCCCCAGAGCCCCCGGTGCCCCGAGGCAGGGGTCCCGTTCTCAGCGACCGCCGGCGCTGCCTCGCCCTGGACGGGCCTCCCCCCACCCAGACCCCCACCCAGACCCCCACTCCAGACCCCCACCCAGACT